AAAAATAACAGTTAGGCCTAATTAATTTCTGAAGTCAATCACATACAATTATATTCATACAAGAAAGCAACATATAATTATCCACTTTCTCGATGAAGTTGTATTTTATTTTACTCTAAAAAATGACATGAGGGAATGACAAATGTGAAGAATTTTACCTGGTTTGATTCATTCAAATTTATTCCACAGCAAATCTTCTTTAAGTTGAAGATGGAAACATACTGCAATTTTGTTCTATGATGCCAGTTGTTAACTTCTGAAGTTTTTATTCTAAGAATATTGCAGGTGATAAGAACATTGTTGTGAGGGAATGACGCGAAACACTGGGGACAAAGTTTAAAATAGAGCTGTGTTAATACTTTTATCAGAAATTAAATATAAAATTGATTTTCTGAATTCTATATTTCAGTATTCTGAAATAAAAAACACGAATTTGTAAAAATTATTACGACTCANAACAATTTTTTTCTTTTTTTAAATCAGCAGTGGGGACAAGTGAGGGAATGACATATTGGTATATTTTAATTACCTAAAATAAATAAAAAATAAAAATTGATAATTTTATTTTTATTCTTTTGTTAGCTTGCATTCCGAAGAACACTTTCCTTGAATTTTTTTTTTCGTAAGCTGTGAAACAAACATAAAATATACTGGGGACATGAGAATGGCTGTTTTTGTGAGAATGACCCATATATATATATATATGTAATAATATGTTAAAAATTCTAAACACCGAAATTGGTGTTGTTAACTTAAACCGGTGATTGTTGACAATCACATAGTCGCTTTGGTAAAAGTCCGAAATATATACCAGGTGTAGTTAAGTGCCACTGCCCGGTATACATTTGCCCGGTTTTCCGTACATCAATGTTTTGTTAATGTCAAGTGCCACTGCCCAGTATTAACCGGTACACCGAACACAGATATTTCTCCTAATCTATCCTCAGTAAATATTGAAATATCGAATAAATATAATAATATCAAATCAGATATAACAAATATTTCGTACATTCACCAAAGCGATTATGTGATTATTGCATTCGCCGGTGAAAGTCGACATTCTCTTGATTTCGGTCTAAAACCATCCGACTGAAAACAATGGAATTTGGCATACATATAGTTCGAAGAACGAGGAAGGTCACTGTCAAATTTAGAACATTCTAATATGAACCGTTCGAGCAGGATGAGCAAAAAACAAAGTGGAATTTTATGACTGGTTAAGCGTTAGCCGTTGCTTTAAATTGTAACTTCAGACTATTCAATTTTTTAAATATTTGAAAGATAACATCAGTGATATTTGCTAGCTCTATAGCTAGCTTATAGCTTTCTATATAAAAAGAAAGTTTATTGCACGTATTTTAATATTTAATTAATTTTTATTCACCCTATCAGATAAATTCAACAAACAACATTAATGTGGTCACCAAATAATAATTTCTAAAGTTATCTGATCACTACGTGTTTATTTTGTGTATAGTAATTATTTTAAAATGCATTTCTATAAAAGTAAATAATTTAAAATCAATTAAAAAAGATAGTTATACATTCAAAGGCAAATGAAAAAAAAATAGTTATGTATTCAAAGGCAAAATTAATGGAAAAGTGGTACGAATTCTTTTCAGGAGAAACGTGATTTCTGCTGCAAGTTCCGCGACCCACAGTTAAAAAAACTCGGCTCAGCCCTTAATTACATTTCCTGATAAAAGTTGTCATTTAAGCTTGAATCCGATTAGCAATTTCTCTAAAAAATATAAATGCGGCACGGAATTAGAAAAAAAACTATCTACAAACGTTTTCACAAAACTATCTTTTTTTAGTGGCATCGATAATCATATTTTATGCCTAATCTACTGGTCACTATAAACAGAGTGCTTCGCAATTTTTTAATATATAGTAATGTACTTAATGTATAGTATTAGAATCTTTAACTAAAATGAAGTAAAGATATAAATAGTCGCAAATATTAATATTTAAGTGGAAAAAAAATTTTACGAAATTTTTCAATTGCGTCGGAGAAAAAACATCAAAACTAGCTTGATAAACTTGTTGGTATATCGATAACTTTTTAAATCCTTTCTGCTTCTTTCGGCAGTCAAATCGGTGGTTTCTCGTCCCTCCTTCCTCAGTCACGATTGGTTAGATTTTAATATTCGTTTTTGTTGTTTTACTCACTCGAATATTAATAGCGACTCCTAGTGTGCATACAGTTTTATTGCAGAAAATAATTTTAAAAATATATATTACCACGTATTATCCTATATTCACACTTCATTTTAATTTTAAAAAATTAGAATCATTTTATTCCTTGTTGCATAACTAATAATTTTTTAATCTAAAAAAATCTTGTAACTTGTAAATTTTTCACTTATAAAAGGCTAATATAAAAATAACACTTTCCTTAAAAGGTCATCGCTGATTAGGTTAAATTAAAGCATTTATTTTATCCATTTTTATGTTGTTTTTTTTTAAAGAGAGAATTCTATGCTATGCCAATAAAATGCAACTTGATATTTAGGTCAGTAAAGGACGCCCCCTTCATTGATTTTTTATCGAGAACCTATTGAGATTCGAAGAATTTGAAAGCGCTTGCCCCTTCACGCAAATTGTTGTTCAGTGTCTGCTTCTTCGGTGCCAGATACTGTACTAGTAGTAAATAACTGGCAAGACTCACAGTCGCCGTTTAATGCAACTAGAAATCGATATCTGGCATATTCTTAATGATTACATCATAATTGGGTACGTTTTATGGTCCCAATTTTGAAATAAAAGAAAAGAAAGTACTATAGTTATAAGCGGTATTATGCACTTCTATTTATATTTTTGTTGCGTTTATATTTTCTTTGTTTGTTTGATTTTTATTTATTAAAAAATGTCGTCATCCTCTATTCCAAAATGAGCTCCGTTAAAAATGACATAATCCATTAATGATATTTGTCTAGTAGAACCAAAAATATATGGCATGAATCCAATTTGTTTTAGCTAATATATAAATTCGATTATTAAGTAATATGATAAATGAAATTGATAGATTAAGAGCAACAAATTGTATAAAAAATGACATTTTCGTTCTATAAAAACTAATATTTTTTATAGGGTTCATTAAATGCAAAACGCATCCATCTTTTTGTTATTTTGGAATTCTTTGCATAAAATTATTGTGGAGCTTTTAGGCCGTATCACATAGTTATTATAATTAAATTAAATAAAGGAATTTTACTCATCTTAAATTTAAACAAATAATATTTTATTTACAATTAAACCATTTTAGCATTGTAACCTTAGTGCTTAAATTGTTTTAGAATAGGTGGATAGAGAGACTTATTAAGTTTATACATGGTTTATTTTCGGTATCTGCTTAGAGTAGACTTACTAAGCTTATGCATGGTTTATTTTCGGTATCTGCCTAGAGTAGACTCACTAAGCTTATACATGGTTTATTTTCGGTATCTGCCTAGAGTAGACTTACTAAGCTTATGCATGGTTTATTTTCGGTATCTGCCTAGAGTAGACTCACTTTGATTGCTCTCCTAACCCTTTCCTTCGGCTGCTTTTATATCATTATTTTTTTCGTGATAAAAAGTTTCAAAGTTGTGGAAAGGTCAAGTTTTAGTTAATGAGTTCAAAAGTTATTGGTGTTTTCGTGCTAGTCCTATGATGGGGTTAATCCCATGATGGGGATGACATTGTAAGATTTTAACCCAATTGTTTATTTGAATTACTCTATCCGTATTTAAGTTACTATTTGCTGATGGAGATTTCCCACGGTAGTTTTATTTAATCGAAGACTTTGAGATGTTCTAGAAATCTAATTTCAGCCCTTTCTCGTGATTTTAATTTTGAGGGACGATAAGCGTCACATTATTAATATTTCTAATAAAAGTATAATTTTTGAAGTGAATTTAGCAAGCTACAGCCAAAGAAAAAAAAAGAATAATATCCAACATTCGTGGAATTTAACTTAAACAATTTATTGAGTAAGAGCATATACTAGTTCTTTGGGTAAAAGAATTGTAAGGGCTCACCCACGATGATTTGTTTGTTCAACTTAACTTTACATTTTGTTTTGCTACGCAAAAACTATAGGATTTAGAAAACTGAAATAACGAAGGAAGCAGAAAGTATACACGAAGTTTAATGGAATAAAAAAAAATTACACCTGTTATTAGTTTGGGAATTATTAACTCTTAAACTTGGAATAAAGAAAAAAAAATCCTCTTGGTCTGTCTACTCAAGACTAAAACCTAACTACTGTCTTGAAATATGACGAGCTGATAGGACAATTTTGTATTATAATTTTAACAAGAGTTTTTTCTATTAGCTCGAAAGTTATTTCAAATTTAAGTACTTTTTAGTTTTCTTTTTCAGGTTTTTTGTTTTAAATATTGACTATTTATTCGTTGTCATAATTTATTTTTCCCTCACGAGCCTTTTTGTTTTATAAACTCGAGTTAGACATGATGTGTCAATCAAAAGCGCAAAAAACGAGAAAGAAAGAGACTGGTTTGTTTACTGGTTTTTAACTTTGCTTCAAATTTTTTGTAGCTTAAAATACCATTTCAGATTTGACATTTATAAAATGCCTTAGAATTCTCTAAATATATATGTCCTAAAGTTAAAAATATACGGAACTGTGCAACTGAACGTTGAATCTTATTTTGAGCTTATAATACGTTTGTTTTGCTTTAAATCATTTTTGGCTTCATAAAATTACTCTAATTAAAATATTCAATTTATATTTACATTGCTTGGTAAAATATTTGTTTATTTATTAGATTCGTTCATGTACATTACAATTAATTTAATTTAAAATAAATTTTTGAGTCACGTGATGTAATAAAAAAAAACATTACTTTTTCCGTGCCTTTTTTTTCTCGATAAATCTTTCTTTCGATAAATAGATTTATTAAATCGAAAAAAAATTATTTCGATTAAATAAATCTATATTTTTTTGATAGAGAGGAAATATTTTTTTTGTAAATTGTCAGTTTGATATTTTTCAGTTTTGAACGAATTTTAATATTTATTAGAATTTAATTTTATGCCAATACATTACTAAGTTGACTGAAGAGAAAACTTCCTTAAAAATAAAATTAATTCGAGTTAATAAGCTAAATGAATCTCTTATTATAAATCAATCTAAATACCAAAAATTTTGAAATACCCACTCTCCTTCCCACGAAAAGAAAATGGCCTTAAAAATCAAAGTAACTCTAGTTAATAAGCTAAATGAATCTCTAATTATAAACCAATCTTAATCCCCAAAATGTTTTAAACATAAAATTACTAGAGAAAAAAAAATCACCATATTGGACTAAAATAAGATTATCAATATGATTTCAAAATTAAAAATTCTTTTAAAATGTCGAATTTCGCTTCCTTTTAATTTATTTATTTATTTATTACAAAATGTTCACGGATTATTCCACGAAGAGAAACAGGTAAATTTTTACGCTTGAATTCTTTCCTCGCTCTTGATCACTAGAGGAAAAAAAAACAATTAGTAATTGCTGTTTTTTATTTCACTTTCTTTAGAAAGCGTTATTGAAAAGAGTAATTACTGGAAAAGTAATTCGGTATTTCTTCAAACAATTTCCAATAATGTTTCTTGTTGATTGAAATCAATTGAATATTTTCAGATTAGGAGGAACTTCAAGCTGTACAAGATGCCTCGTCCTGTGTCGGCACAAACTAGAAATGAACAGCTGATGAAAGAAAAAGCTTCTAAGAAACTTATGGTGGCAGAAGACCCGGTAGAAAAACTTAGACTATTATGCTTACAACGTGGATCTCGAGGAATTCTGGGATTGGGAAGGTAAGAGAAATCTTTCAATAAATTTAATAAAATAACTTATTTAACCCTTTGACGCAGTTGGGACACCGGTGTCCCTTTTATGTATTTTTTTTCTGCCGCTCTAATTACATGCAAAAATATACTTTGGTATTTTTTAATCATAAAAAACAGTCTAGTAATTATTACTAGATTAAAAGCTTCGAAAATATACAAATTGGAAATAACAGTCATGTTTCAAGCGCTAAGAAAACAGACACCCATTTCCAAGACTTTGCCAGACGTGAATGAGAAGAAACAAAAGGGATTTGAAATTTAAAACGATAAGTTGTCAACGAATCAATGTAAAAATAAAGATGAGAAACAAAACAAGAAAAACCACAGAAACCGAGAAAGAAAAATAGACGAAAAACAGAGCAAGGAGAACCATAGTGGTCGAGAGAGGAAAATCAGGATAAAATGCATTTCCACGCGCTATGGAGAGCTGTTGAGGAACTGATGTCGTAAACGAAGGAGTTAGTATTCATATGTCTAATAGTTACTAAAATACTGTACTAAAATATAATATCTAAAAAAGTAGTTAAGAAATTTTTTTTCATTTATTTCCAAAGTTTGTTAATAATTGAAGTTAAAAAAATTTCAATGAGAAACTTTTTCTCTTAGATCTAAAATAACTCCAAATAAGTGCAAATTTCAAAAAAATATTGTTTGGAAGTGAACCGTGTTTGACAGATTTTACATTTAATGCAGAAAAAGAGACCGGTATTTCATGCTGTATTTCATAACCCTAAAGTATTAAAATGCTAAATATAATATTTTTCACTTATTCTAACGTAAATAATGCAAAATAACGAAAAAAGTATGAAAAATATGTTAAATATAAATTCTGCGTTGAAGGGTTAAAAAATGCGACTGATGATTGCTGGTCTGCAAATTATTAGGTCCACGTTTTTTTTTTTTTTTTTTTTTTTTTTTTTTTTNTTTTTTTTTTTTTTTTTTTTTTTTTTTTTTTTTTTTTTTTTTTTTTTTACAAACTGCTTCACTCACTCATTCACTACATCATCGATACGCTTCACATCTTAATGTTTTTTCTTCTTTTATTCATTTTCTATATCAAGAATCATATATAGTAACAGTTGATATAGTGACTCGCTATCCATAAGAATTTACTATATATATATATTTTTTTTTTAACGGCAGGAGTCCCGCAGTGGACTGATTGTAAAGACGCAGTTCCTAGTAGAACACCAAAGTCAAGCATCACTGGCTGCGTTCAGTGTGATGGCGGGTGACCACTTTGATCAGCCTGGGTAGGAACCGAGGGTGCTTGGTATCGGTCCTCGTTAAACTGTTCTACTGTAAAGTGCTCGACTTCGCGCAGGTCGTCGGGCTACCAAAGCGGGGATGCCATCCCTTCCGCAGAGGATCAAAATTGTGATGGCATGTCTTCGGATCATCCTCCGGGATGTTTCCCAGACAGTCGCCAATAGCCCATTCTGAAACTCTAATGTGACGTTAATAAAGTAACTACCTACCTTTAATAGCAGGCACTGAACTTATCGTTCTTCGCTATGGAAGGTGCCGGCGTTGTTCATTTTGCGTTGCCTGGCTAGCACCTTGTGACCAAAGTCACGGAGGCGAGCAACATTATCCACGTCACACTGTCACAGATACCCATTTCTTTGTCACGAAACTACTTTGGAAATCTAACGGGCCGGGATAGCCTGGTTGGCAGAGCGCTGGACTCTCGTTCGTGAGAACGGGAGTTCGAATCCATCAGGACGAAGACTCCCCGTGTAGTAAATGGTAACTGGCGCACGTTAAAGCTGTCGGATCACTAAGTCCTCCATGTTCACATAACAAATTACACTGAGGGCACTGGATTGGAGATTGATCCTTCTCAGGTTCTGGTCAAAATAACGATCTGTGGATGAATGAATGGATTTACCCTGTGTGACGTATGGGTGTGGCAGAATTCGAATTTTTTTCCATAGATGGCGCCACTGGAAAACAAGAACAATCGCACCCCCTTGCCTTAATGGTCCACGATAACAACAACAACCAATTATGGTGTCACTATAGGCTAAAATATTTTGCAGTTGTCATAAGCCTATTAAACGTTTCTACAAATTTTCTATACACTCAGAAACTTTGGAATATGTTGAGCTTGATTAATCAATTATATTTGCTGCAAGCACTATGTTGATATTGCATTAAATTTGCTCCATATCAATGTATTAATATTATAATTCTACAATGACACAATTTTTCTGAGTTGTAGTTTTCTGAGTTTTGATCTGTTGTTACCTGCAATATTATTTAAAAATATTATATTTTCAAAGTATTTCGAAAGATTGTTGCGCGCAATGCACTCATTCGAATGAGAAAAAAAAAATTTAATCGAACAGAATAAGAACAACAAAATATTTAAGATACTGTATCTTTTAAGTAATTTTGGATCCGGGATCTCGGTGTATACGAAATATAAAGAGTTACAAAACGAGTTACGCTCATTCTAGGAGGCTTTATGCCCTCCCCATATTGTTTTTCAATTAAAATTTTTTTATTTTATAATCGGACTGAACAGCCGATCCGATTCTGAGTTTACAACTATCGATGTTCAAATCCATAGCCATGCAATTTTTAACCTTACCCAGCAGACAACGGAAGACCTGGATCAAGCATTGGGACAAACTAGCCTTTGAGGAATGCTCGAGGGGAGGAACTAAGCCGCATTTGCGTTACATGGAGAGGTAAACTACAAAACTCACCCGGTTAGCCCGTCTCCAAGGGGATTCTTACCCATTATCTACCACTGAGGACACTTGTAATTTTTAACCTAACCAAGAGGATAAGGATACTTCTGGATCAAGTATTGGAACAAACTAGCCTTCGTGGAGGACTTAAGGATGGAAATGACCCACATTTGTGTTACATGGAGAGGAAAATTACGGAAACCTCTCACGGTTAGCTTGACGGCGAGGGGATTCTAACCCATGATCCGTCTACCACTGAGAATATTTTACGTCAGCACTGTAGTCAGGAGCAGCATTTGTATCAACCAGCCACCGCTGGGAGTCGAACCTGTGTCACCTAATTGAGAGGCGAACGCTCTATCCCTCCTTGAGCCACCGCGACGCAATTTAAAAATTTGTCGAAAGATATTCTAAGCATTTATAAATTTTTTTTTTTTAACAGAAAGTCATATTATTAAAATGATACGACTCAAGAATTATTCAACCTACTTATCACAGACATTATCGTGTCATTGTTCATTGCATATATTAAAATGATAAACAATTTAATTCATTCTAATTAATAAATTTGTTGCTAATTGCGACAAAAATAGCAAATTTAAATGCTCAAAATAATTCATTTTTAAAAGATTCATTTACAAATTTTTCGTAAAAATTTAGTAGCATTGATCAGATGCGATTATCGAATTCATACGAAAACTCGTTTTTTTTTTCCTTCGTTACATCAGTAATATTTATTTCCATTCATTGATTTCGGTGATTATTTTAAAACGATTCTAAATGTTGTATTTATTGTTTACTGTTAAATATATAATGCTGATAAAAAAAATCAACCACCCTTGAAAATGTCGTTTAATGTGATCGCATTAACAAATCTATCCTTTAATTCGAGGTAAAAAAAAAAGAAAAGAGTTATTGATTTAGCCACTATATGAAGTGAGATGATGATGCAAATTTCTATGAATTAAGCTTTTAAAATATGTTGCATTAATAACACCACCTATTTAATATAAATTTCAATTATTAGGACGTATTTTTATCAATTGCTTAGTGGACGTGAGAAAAAGAAATCGTAATTATAAACGTCTTTATATTTAAATAAAAATTAATTATCAGAAGTATCTGTATGAAACGCAGTTAGAAGAGCTACGACGAGCAGTTTGAAAATTGTGCAGAAATCTAGCTACGATATCGACCGCGTCAATATCGTAGTTAAATTTCGATATCGATACCGCATCAGCTACGATTTCGACCTACGAATTATTTTTATTTGTTTATTTTTTTTACAAGTTGAAGGACAAACTAAATTGCACCAGTGCTGATTAAATTTTTATCCAATTCAGCTCTTTAAAAAGTAAAAATGTAACTTTATATTTAGTTCGATTAAAAGTTTTACAAGAAATAAATTCTTAGAAAAATACAAACATTATATCAAAAAGAATAATATATATCTTAAATAATATATATGTTACGCTTAATGTGAATAGTCGGTTACTATTAATACTAATCGGTCAATATAAATAATAACCAAATAAGCCGGTTAAAGGGAGTAATTTAAGCAAATTTATTACATTAACCGATTATTATTAATAATAAAAATTTTTTTTAATTCGATAAGGAAAACTCTGATTTAAATACAATTGGTTGCACATTACGTAGTATAATGTGAACTTTTTTAATATCACGATAACCAAATAACGAATTTTTCTCAATCTGAACGTTCGTAGTCCTCTTAAAATTAAATAACTAATTTAATTTAAATTTATAATTACAAGAAATAAAATATAAAACTCTCAGATATGGTCTTCATTTGTTGTTTCTGAAATTAAAGATGCAATATTGATTTGTTATAATTAAGCGTAATGTGTTAACCTTCACATGTCTCTTTTTTTTTTTAATAACATTAAAATACAACATAACAAAATGTAATGTATCGTGACAATGGTGGTCTTCTATGCACGGAATATCTCTAAATGAGCAAAGTAGCAAGTGTTATGGTTTTGAAAAGAATAAAAAGAGTGGCCTAAAAACATATTTTTTTGGCGAGGATATCTATTTTAATCACGCAATGTTACGATAACATACTTAAGATATAGTCTTTTTCGTTTCAATTTCATTAAAGTGGTGTCTATTGTGACTTTAAAAGTTTTAGTTGGCTGCAATAAATTTAATTTCTGAAGAAATTGATAATGACCTTGTACTTTTTCCAGGACTTAGATAAATACGATAAAATAACATCAGAAAAATAAATAATAAATCACATTGATAAAATTAAATACAAAGTTATTAGAATATCACTCATTATAATTGTACTCCATATTTGTTATACAAAGGTATAATGTTAAACCAGTCCCCCAAGGTTTGGTGTGGTCCCTGAGTATAAAAGAAAAACCAATAATTAGAGGCACGGTAGCTGAGCCGCGAGTGGGATTGGGGAGAAGAAAATATTTATTTATCATTGGTCTGCTCTACATTTTTACACTATTGATATACGGTGCTGCACTGTTAATAAAGATATCCCTTTGATAAACCTTTTATATCATCCATGTTGATTATATCTGCCATCACATTTTGACACAGAAAGAAAGAATAAAAGGGAGGTTGACTTAGTACCCAACCATACATTTAGAGTTGCCCAACAACAGGTTCACAGGTGACGAACCTCTTGACAGTCACTTAGCTTCTTATGCGATGGATCTTAGCACTTATGATGCTCTGTATGTTGCTCACCCTGTAAGTTGTTTTTCTATAGTATAGCATACCGAAACGAGCAGTTCCCCGCGATAGTTACATATTCAAATAGCTGGGCTTCTTTTTTTGCTCCAAGACCCCACACTGAAAAGGAATTAAATAAGTCATTATGGGATTTTAATGTTTTAAAATAATTTAATTCTGAATTCGTGATGGCAATGCAACAGGGCAGCTCAAAACAATTAATGCCGAATTTGGAGGCAGCCAATAAATTACCAAAATAATAATAATTGAGTGACACTATGATGTTGTTGTAGTTCATTTACGTCGCACTAGAGCTGCCCAATGAGCTATTGGCGACGGTCTGGGAAACTTCCTTGAGGATGATCCGAAGACATGCCATCACAATTTTGATCCCCTGCAGAAGGGATGGCACCACCGCTTCAGTAGCCCTACGACCTGCAAGCGAAGTCTAACACTCTACGGTAAAACAGTTTAACGAGGACCAATACCGCACACCCTCGGTCCCTACGCAGATTGATCCAAGTGGTCACCCACCCGCCCACTGACCGCAGCCAGTGATGCTCGACTTCGGTGATCTGCTGGGAACCGTGTGAGTGACACTTTGAAAAAGGACTTAAAGCAGGACATGAAGTTTCGGACATAAAAGTAAAGTAACTACTAGCAATATCAAAATTTTCGCTCGCAACTATTTTCACGAAAAATAGGAACAACTTTTAAAATGTTAAATACATGTTTTGTGATTTTTTTGGTTACCAAAACCACAAAAGAATGCAGAAGCTGAAAATTTGAAGATAATAACTAAAAAGAAGGTTACTATAAAATAAAAAAAATTCTTTAAATGAAAAAAAATATTAGAAAATTAAAATATCAGAAGTGTATACGACTGACATTCGTCATTAAATTTTACTTTGACTAGGGTTAAAGAAAATTTATTTAATGAAATTCAAAGGAAATCACCCTGTTTGTCTTCAAGGTAGGTTGATGTTAATTTACGTCGCACTAGAGCTGCACAATGGGCTATTGGCGACGGTCTGGGAAACATCCCGGAGGATGATCCGAAGACATGCCATCACAATTTTGATCCTCTGCGGAGGGGATGGCACTCCCGCTTCGGTAGCCCGACGACCTGCGCGAGAAGTCGAACACTTTACAGTAGCACAGATTAACGAGGACCAATACCGCACACCTTCGGTCCCTACGCAGATTGATCCAAGTGGTCACCCACCCGCACACTGATGATTGACTTCGGTGATCTGCTGGGAACCGTGTCTTAACGATCAGTCCACTGCGGGACTCAAGGTAGGTATGTACTTTATTTATGTCGCACTAGAGCTACATAATGGGCTATTGGCGACGCTCTGAGAAACATCCCTCAGAATGATACGAAGACATGCCTTCGTAATTTAGATCCTCTGCAGAAAGGACGACCTATGCGTGAAGTAAAACACTTTACAGTAGAACAGTTTAATGAAGACCGATACCGCGCACCCTCGGTGTCTACGTAGGATGATAAAGTGGTCACCCACCCGCTTACTGACTGCAACCAGCGATGCTTGACTTCGGTGTTCAACTGGGAACCGTGTCTTTACGATCAGTCCACTGCGGGACCGTTTACCTTCAAAGAGATTCTGACTATTGTTTTCAGTTTATTGTGACATCCTAATCTGTAGCAGATAAACGCTCTCATAATTCTGGGAGAACATGACAGTGCAATTCAAAATATAAAATTTTGCTAGAAAAAATAAATGGCCAATGGCAAGAGGATGGAAATTTCGTACACTGACTTAAAAATGGAAAAATATTGCTTGAAATAGACTATCGATATTTGAGCCAGGCCCCTACTTCTTATTAGAGGTCTCCATTGCTTGCAAACTTTTCCCCACAAAATACTGTTTATTTTTGGAAATGAAATGAAAATTACTATGTGCTACGCTAGAATATTTTGATTAGCTTTCTACATATCAGTAACATATGATGGTCACTCAATAAGATTTTGAAAAGTTTTCATTCAGTTAAGCTATTGAAAAGTTTACTCTATTAAAATACGAAAAGCTTAAGAGTATTATAGTTTGTACATATTAAAAATTCAGTGCAAACAAATATTCTTTTCAACTATCAACACAAAAAGTATTGTGACTGAACTGAATAAGATGATGTTCAAGGTATAGTAAAATGTGTAGTAAACAGCAAAAAGCAGTCTTTAAAAAATAACATTAAAATTTATACCAATAATCCTTTATTAACAGATAATATAACATAAAATAAATAACGTACAATAAATATAAAAACAGGTGGTATAAATATTGATAAAAATAATACAAGTTTTTCATTTTCATTCAGTCATTAGTTAAAAAACACATTAAATCTTCCACAACAATAGAACAATAAAACATTTTTGATGGACTATAACAATTAGAAAATGCTCAAAATTAACCTCTTTTAAACAAATCATATTCAGTAGTTAAAAAAATTAATATATCTTTATAATTTTCAGGTTTAATTTAAACCTAATCACTATACTTCTTGAACTAAGGGTACAAACTTGTTTACATTAGAGTTGAGCCAAAACATGATAGACAAGTAAAAAAAGCCAATAAATTAAATACAATAAATATACTATGATAATAGATATACTATAAATACTATGATGGTCTATTTGTAACTGTGCATTGATTGGAGGAAGCAAATTTACATATAATTACAGCTGTCACATCTTGTTTGATTCAATTTTAACGCCAATTGAAAAGCCTTCTATTATAGCACTTGGCCTATATATTTTTTCTTATAGGCTGTGGTAACTCCGTAAACAAAATCTGAATGTTAATTCCATTTATCCAGTGAAGAAGATATCAATTCTGAAGTTTTTCATAAGATCATGAAAAAGAGTACAGAGATCAGGACAGGAGAGATCAGTGTCCTGATGAGAACAGATTACACTTTTAAAGTCTCTGAAATGAAGTTTATTTCACTGGGAACAATCTCTTATTTCTCTTTCAATGACCAACAACTTTCTTGACACATTTCAGAGCAAAAGAAAATTTTGCTTCATATATAATGATACTTGACATTTGCAAACATTGCAGAACAAGGCACAGTAATTGTTCAAGAAAATGGCTTGCTTTCTAGGGGATAGATATCATACCAACCATCAATTAGAACAGGGGTCTGTCTAGGTTTCTATGAGAGAAACCTATTTTGTGCAAATTTAGACATAATTTATGAAAATTAAAAATTATAGTAAAAAATCAACACAAAATAATGGAAAATTTATATATATATTTCTCTATATATTCAAAAATACTTTTGCTATTGTAAAATTTTGGGCTTAAAATTGTATCCAAATTTAAAAATCCATAAAAATCATTGTCCATTGTTAAATTTCAACTCGAATTTTAAAAACAACAACATGCATTTAACAGTACTTGCACTAAAAGTTATTTTCATTACAATAACATTTTCCATGAGGTTATATTGAAAAAAGAGTCATAGAGAAAAAATTGTTTCATAAAAACATTAAGGTCTGTTAGAATAAATTTAGAACAATGTTCGAATGTTTAGAATAATGTTTGAATTTCAACTTCTTGTAAAGTTTACAGAGGAAGTGACTCTGTGTTCAATTAAAAAAAAAAAAAAAACTATGTAAAAAAAAAGTTCTCTATACTATGGCGTAAGCGACCGGTTAGGCTTACCACACCACTATCTGACCTAGCACGTGCTACCTATTCGTATATGCAGAATCAACTCCAGATTTATAGTTTCTTACGGGGAAACAAAATTTTAAGGGGCGGGGTGGAGAACCTTAGAACTTACTTTTTTAAAAGTATTTTGTGAAACTGCCGTTTTTCCTTAAGTTGAATTTGTGAAGGTACTGCTAAACGGTAGTAAATTTGCCCTGAACAAACCCCTGTAGAAAATGTTTTTCAAAGCTTTTACACTAATTGGTAGGGAGGGTGGCCAGTTTCTTTAACAAAATGAAATATGTTTAAAATTTTCAAGTACTTAAAGTCGATGTGCAAGTATTCAGCGCAAGCTGTCATACTTGGTACACACAATCACGTACATAATTGAAATTTTAATGAAAAACAGTTTTTTTTTGTTGGGAAGAAAATTATTTTTTACAATTTGGTTTCATTTCATTGTGGGAAAAATTTGCTTTATCTAAGTGTACTTTTTTCTGACAAGACAAGTATTAATATCATGGTTTATAATAAATTTGTATAGTAAACAAATTAATCATTTAACTGTTTATGCTAATTTTGAATCATAAAAAAGATTGTTGCATTTTATCTAATAACAAATATTTACTTATCATTTATTATTTTTAATTTCAAAATAGTTAGTTGGGTTTCAGAGCTAATCAGACAAAGGTCTTAAATTTCGTATCATATTTAAATGATTTAATAATCCCTCATTTCAGTAAAGTCATCTCAAACTTGATACATTGAAAACAGTATTTTATAAATCAATTAAAAAAAAAGTTTACAAAATTTAAAAACATAATTGGCATTGATACAACAGAATTTTTTTAAAAAAGAAACAGTTTATAGAATCATTTTTAACAGGCCGAAAATTAACCATACTCACGAAGTATGAGATTTGATGTATTGACACAGATTAACAGTTCTCAAAATGTTAATACAGAGATAAAAAACTTTTTCGTTACAAAGAAACTGTCTTTGATATCGTTTCAATCAGAAAATATTAAATAACAAACATAGAATTAACTTGTGAACAAAAATGTATTGAAACATTCTTAACAATTTCTTATTCTTTAAATATTATACAAAAGGCTACAAAAGCAGTGTATGGCAGTTCTTAGAAATTGTTCAATTGGCTTAAAAATGAATATTATCAGGTCCAGAAGAGTTTCTGGATATTTTTTAAATATTTTATCACAGATTCTTATATTAAGCCCAAAACAATTTATTATGGTTTAAAAACTAATCTCTGGTGCATTATAATTAATATTTTAACAATTTAGGTTACTTACAGTAAGAGATTATATATAGTTTTTTTTTTCATTAAAAAAATAACATTTCCTAGTTAATGAGAAAATCATAAATACAGTCAAACCCCGCTATAGTGAGCACGGTTTATAGTGAACTCCCGGATATAGTGAACGAAATGTTCGTTCGCGTGCCTTGCTATATACGTATAATGTTATTTTTGTGGATATAGTGAACCAAAAAAGTGAGGAAGTTGGATATAATGAACTTTTTTCTGCTTTCAACTGATTTTTTTCACTTTTTTTTGTAATAATTTTGAATTTTCTACTTCAAAATAAATTCATATACCAATATTTAAAACCATCTATAGAGGGGAATGTAGCGATAAGCATTTTTTCTGTTTTGCTTCTTTTATCTCACTTTCCCATCCCTAAACAAACCAAGCAGATGTTTCCAACCCAGAGGCAGAAGATGCACCTGTAAGGTGTCAGTGAGATCAATATGCATTTTCTGTCAGAGGGAATGAGTAATTATTCATTATTGGTCAAAGAGTTAGACACTAATATGTGTTGATAAGGCCCTCCTTTCAACTCTTTTTTGCTCTCAGTTCAGTTAAAAAAAGTCTGGAAACAAGTGTCTCAAATTTAACTCTGGTGACCAGTAAAAGTAAAACGTTCTCCATTGATGATAAAATGGGCATAATCAGAAAAATTAAAAATTAATACAATCAACTTGATACTTGCAGTGAATATAAACTATCCAAAACTGCAGTTTGTAACATATGGAAAAATAGACAATTAATAATTTCTGCTCATGAAAAAAATTTAGAATGCTGAAAAAAAGTTTAGAAAAGCAGATCACAAGGAGGTTGAAGAAGCATTACTTAAGTGGTTCAACATTAGAAGAAGCTGCAATCTTCCAGCATCTGGACAAATGTCGATGAATTTTCTAAGTTATTTTATGAGACTACTATTATGTGCTTGGATGGCAGGTTAGACATGTTTAAAAAGCGGAATAACAGAAATTCAGGAAAAATTATCTGAGAGTCAGGAAGTGTTTCCATATCTGATGTTAAGGATTGCTCGCCAGCTAAAAATTACTAATTTTTTTTTGCACGCAAGACGAAGAGTAACGAAAAATAACAAATTTTTTGCTACTACATAATATTTTTCAGTCATTTATTTGAATAATGTGTAATAAAAGGAAGGAGTTTGGGAACCATTAGTTAAATTGCCTGAGTAACGGATATAGTGAACTCCCGGTTATAGTAAACCAAAGTTTCTGTCCCTAAAAGGTTCACTATAGCGGGGTTTGACCATATAACTTTTATCACTGATATTCCATAAATATTGTTACGGTTTCAGTATTTACGTTTATAAATTTGTTAAGAAAAAAGACAAAATGTGTGTCTGAATTATCAAATTTTTAATCATGAAGATCATAACTAAATTTTAAAAGAAATGAATCAGCTATTTCTTAGCTTTCAAAGACTTCACATCATTACAAGAATTGTACGCACTTACAAACTTACTTTCAGTTTTTAAAATCATACCCACACAGCGAATCTACAGATACTCATTCTTTTATTTATGATATCAGCATAGAATTAGCACAATAAAGCAACATAAACAAATATTTTTAATTGAGAAATTTTATTTACACATACATAAAACAACACATCAGGAAGCATTCTAACTGATTCAAATAAAATTATCTAATAAAATATAACCAGTCATTTAAATTCCTTATTTGTGTTCTTTTTAGTGATAAAATTTGTTAAATGACTAAGTTGACTCTTTTTAAAGACTAAAACAAAATAAAATATATAAGTTACTGTGAGATTTCTGTAACATGATCTGTGGCAGAACAACCGCCAAGCCTTAGAAACTTCTGGGCAGTGGCCCACGAGAAACTTAAAAAAAACATCACAGAAAGGGACCAACTCAATATAATTCATAGACACCTCAGGGCAAACATCTACATGTTTTTAAAAAAAAATTTAAAGTTAAAATTAAGTTTAAAATTCATTTGGCATCCTTGCGATTGTAGTTGGCGAGACAGAACTTGATACGGAAATATCCCTTAAGTTACATAAACAAAAATATATGAAAATTGATTGCAAAATTATATTTCTGACCACTATATTAGGGATTATAAAAGCGTACAGAACAAGCATTTGGTATTTATTTCTCAAGTAAATAAAGGAATAATTTAATTACTTACTTATAGTTTCAGAGCCCGCGTTAATCATTAGCCAAATGTGATAAAATTGCAAATTCGGCAGGAAATAAATTATGCATTTGCGTAAATATTGGCGCCTGATTTTTTTCTACCAAAAGAAAAAATACATATTACTCTTTTACCTAAAAAAAAAAGAGTCAAAAGGAATTTTTGTGAACAAATCCTGCAATTTTTATTCGATGACAATAATTTCTGTTAGATACATCACAAAACAAATTAGAATTATACTAAGTCCAGATAACGTACGTAACAAGAGAGATTATGTAAGCATGACATAAATTACTGTAAAATACAGATGACTACATTCCTTGACAAATCACGTGATAATTTTTACTACAGTTTGTCAAATATATCAGATTATATGGTAGCAAAATGCAAATTACCATTTAATTAGTTTTGCAGAAAATATGTTTTGGCGTGACAATAACCTAATGCTGCCTATACTTTTATTACAACGTACTTATATTAAATTAAAATACATACGGTTTATACTTATACTACTGCTCTAGTCTAAGAAGTTATCAAAAATGACTTTTGATTTGAATTTGCATATTATAAAATATTTCAGTTGATGGTAAATTTGTATTTTGATTTGAAGTTTTTTTTGATAAAAAATCAATCTTACGAAATTGTTAAGATTTGTCTTTGATTAAGAATTTTGAAACTTGGCTAATACTTTTGATATTTGGCTAATAATTTGAAGTTCTTAGGGCGGAATCTCTGTTTCGCTTTATTATACATAGCAGTGTTTTTAATAATAATAATATATGTTTTAATTATTTCATGGAAAACATTTTAATAATGCTTACCTTTTATAAGTTTTTCTATTCGTTTCTTATTTAAATAGATTTCGAATCTTCGACAATTAAACGATATTTAACTCCAATGAACTGGCTCTCTAAAAATTCTCCAACATATCGATCGTAAGTGCCATACTTTTGCTTGGCCTTCCTTAAATGTTTTAGAAATGCGCCAAAAGATAATTTCTCGCATTTTGAAAGGATAAATAAAATTGCATAACCACCACATACAGTAGATCTTTTGTCTTGGTAACATTTTTTATTTCTTATTATCGTGCGATATTTCTTAGCAAAAGATTTTATAAAACCTCCATAAACTTTTGGACTTTTACCAAATGAGTCGAAATATTCCAGATGGTTTTCATCTCTTACATAAAATGCTACCCAATGAAGATTATCTTTTTTTGAATTAGATGATATGTTGGCAATAAATGTAGAATTATTTTCTACATTTTTAGGGATTTCATCAGCAGTAAAAACACCTTTAAATATGGATTTGCCTTCAGCAGATAAATTTTTCTCGATAATTCGTAACAATTCAGTGCCATGCAACATTCTGACCAGAAGAGAGCGTGCTATTTTGTTTGAGTTTGTTTTGTTTTGTTTAAGAAGTTTATACAGAATTTATATTTTTCACTTGTAACCTTTGTGCCTCATAAATCGATTGCAAGGAATCTGCCCAATCAGATTCTTAGAAGTCGTTCTTACTGTATACAAAACATCGCATGTGAAGGCCTGATTGGTGAATTTTCGAAATGTATGCAACTGTGAAAGTTAGTGCCATTCTCACTGCATCCGGTTCATGCACCTCCTTCCACCCATATCTACTTTTTCCTTTTCTACGCAATTAATTGCATGTGGAAGTATTTCGTTGTTTTAAGCTTTGCATTTGCAACTGTCAAAAAATATAATTTAAAATATATTTTGTCACAAAAGAAATAAACAGAGATTTTTAATAAAACCACGTAGCGAAGTTCGAAGCAAATATTCACGTAGAAAACGAAGCAGTTTTGGGGCTACATCCATTGAGTTGTATATTGATCTCTGTTGATCTGTCTATTAATTAAAGGTATTTTTCAAGTAGGCACTTTATTTTACATCGCACTAGAGCTGCACAATGGGCTATTGGCGACGGTCTTTAGTTGAATGTTAAGAGGTAAGTTGTTTGGGGTAAATGACAGTAATAATAAATTATAGGAAAGGAAAGTAATTGTAATGACAATGTTTCATTATTCCCAAGATTATTTGTTAAGCAAAAATTTTGCATTCGCCATGAAAAGTTTACAATAAAAAAATCTTTATGTTGATGCAAAATTACGCGGATATATCTTTTTCAATCTAAAGTGGTAGTCAATGTTTTTAGTTTAAATTTAAACGTCAAATTAATTTTCAAATGACTTGATTGAGGTGATGAAATTCAGGCGTTAAAAGAGCAAAGTTCAATATTAATTTGTTTTACTATAGTTTTAAATAACATGATTAGAATTTAAAAAAATATATAAATGCCAGTTTTTCTCATTTTTTATAAAAGGATTCTGGGTGTGCAATAATTTTCAACATCATTCTATACAAACAATTCAAGCAAGTTGTATGACATAATTAACATTAATACTTCATCTAATAAGAATAATTAACATTAATAATTAATCTAATAAACCAGAAAATTTTATTGGCAAGTATTTAAGTGTTGGAAAAACTAAACAGTTTTTACTTTTCTGAAATATTATTCCACTACTACTTTAATAAATGCCAGAAAGTAAAACGGTGAAATTTACACTATCATACAACGAATAAAAGAATTTTGATTCAAGTCTTTAAGCTTTTTTTTATTAATCAATGTCATGAAAAACGAAATATAGGTTTTAAAAAGATCAGAAAATTCTGGATTTTTTATTTTTGTTATTGCAAAGCAAAACAAAATACAAATGAAATTCACCGAATGGCTTAAGATGATTGACAGTTCAAAAAAATTGTATCTTGAAGCTTACGTTTCTCAAATGGTTTTTTGTCCCGCAGTGGACTGATCGTTAAGACACGGTTCCCAGCAGATCACCGAAGTCAAGCATCACTGACTGCGGTCAGTGTGCGGGTGGGTGACCACTTGGATCAGTCTGCGTAGGGACCGAGGGTGTGCGGTATTGGTCCTCGTTAAACTGTTCTACCGTAAAGTGCTCGACTTCGCGTGCAGGTCGTCGGGCTACGGAAGCGGAGGTGATGTCCCCTCTGTAGAGAATCAAAATTGTGATGGCATGTCTTCGGATCATCCTCAGGGATGTTTCCCAGACCGTCGCCAATAGCCCATTGTGCAGCTCTAGTGCGACGTAAATGAACAAATCAAATCATGGATTTCGTTCAAATTTCCTATTTTGTCATTTAAAACTAGATAACAGAGTTGAAAGTGCTGTGAAAAATTGTATATCCTCTAATTCATTTGTATATCCAATAATATATGCTATAATTCACATATTTTTTGTCGTTTAATAAATGTAAGAAATAATAATTAAAAATTGTTATTTTACATGAAATTATCTCTAGATAAAAGAATCATTTAATTGCGTGCATAATCGCTTATAAAATTTTCAACAAAAAAGAATTTATTTGTTGTTAACTGTCTTGCCAATAATATTGTCATCATGCCTCCATATATGTTTTTATTGAACGTTTCATATTGCATCGTATAATATTACATCGTTTTTCTATGTTAGTATTAAATGGTTGTTCATAATTTTTTTATTGAATGTCCCATATTATACTTTTTGTATGTCTGTATAGAACGTTTTATTTTATATTGTTTTACTGTATTTATATGGAATTTTTCATGTTATGGTCTATTATGGTGCTTGTATTGAATATTTCATATTATATACCTTAATGGTATATTTATTGAACGTTTTACACTACAACATTTCATGATGTTTGTCATGCCTCCATATACCTCCTTGTTGTGATGGCGCTGTCATCAAGGTTGATGTAGAAAATAAAGATAGTAGAGTTCGCACGAAGTGGCGGTGGTGTAAAGACGTTCTTTTGGTAGTAGTCTAATTATTGTTTGAACAGTGAGATATCTCAAATATTGTGACCATATTTTCTAGATTGCGTCTATCCCCTATATTTTGTCTGTTAGAAAACCAAATCCATCGGGTGAACAAATGCGTTATTTCAATGAAAGTACGTTTTTAGTGTCTGATTCCGTAATTTAAATAGTTAACACTAATTAATTAACAAATTTAAGGTAGATTCTTTAAACTATTAAGACTCGTACAAAGTTTATGAAAATCCTATCATTATAAAACTATTCAGCAAGAATTTCTTTCTGGCTCATTGCTCATTACTATTGGTTTAACATTATGATCATTGGGACAGTTTCTTGGCTTACAACCACTGGATTTTTAAATCGGACCCTCGGGACGTTTTTAAAGTGATAATGGCGGAGAAACGCCAAAATAACCAGTCATCATGATTTATATTTCCATGACTTTTTTATTGATTTAACTCATACAAAAAAGTATGATAATATTTTTGAGTAACTCATATTTTTATTTATTTAACAGAGTGTTTAGGCGGATGGATGACAATAACAGTGGAGACTTGAATACGGAGGAATTTGTGAAAGGTATTCGAGATACGGGACTTCAGATAACAGACGAAGATGCTGAGAAACTCTTCCAGCAATTCGACAAGGATGGATCAGGAACAGTCCATTACGAAGAATTTCTAAGAGCAGTTAGGGTAATATTTCTCCTCCTTTAATTAATGTTTTAATCGCTTCCATTTACCTTCTTTTGCAAAGGTGTTTTCATATGTGTGGTGTTTTCAATTTAAATTCAAACAACAGCTATCTAGAGCTCTTGACTTATCTACTTCCGGTTAGAAAGTATGCAGCTTCTTTGTTTTAGTTATTTAGAGATGTATTGCTAAAAAAGGTGACATGGTTGTTCGATATCGAAAAAACTCGCCTTTTTGGCAGCTCTGATTTGGCTTCTTTTTACTTATTTATTACTGCCTGTTTTTGGTGCAAGCCGTGCATCATCATGCATCAGTGTTAGTACATTGTTTGAGAAGCGAACTTAAGTTCACTTCACAATTTATCATTTGGGTTTAAATGGCATATTGTTAACAAGGTAAGAAGTGTCTTATAACGATTCTTTTTTCAAATGACAATTCTTACGTTTTGAAATGACAAGTCTCCAAGTGACTATTCTTCATTTAAACACAAATAATAAATCAGGTAATAAATACACGTATACGAGAAATACTACTCAAGATAATAGTGAAAAAAATAAAATAAAAAACAACTGATTAAAAAAAATATGTAAAAAAAAAGGATGACATTTTTTTAAAAAAACCGGAAAATAAAATATATAATCCTTTCATCAGCCCACACGATAATATCCGCAAAAAAGAGTGTTTTCTGATATTGTACAATACCGGTTTTTTTAAAAAAATTTCGTCCTTTTTTTATTTTTTATTAATTCTTTTTTTTTTTAATCAGTTGTTTGTTATTTTTTTTTCACTATCATTTCCCCCCCCCTTTTTTTTCTTCATATGTCTATAATTTTCCATTGTTTTATCTTCATTTTGAGCTTTTCTGACGAGTTCTGTTTGCTTGCAGCTTATGTGCAATAAATGAAACTTATTGTTTTTCCTAATTTTCTTCGTGTTTTTTGGCATTTATTTATTTTGTNATTCATATATATATATATATATATATATAAGTATATAAGTTAGGTCTTTGGCAATGTTGGTCTAAGTAGTGAAGCTAGTGGGCGTAATATATCTGACGAAAAGAAGTGGTAAAATTGTCCAATGTTCAGTTTCATATCTTTAAACCTCGTGGTTTCGAATTAGACTAAGAAGATAAGTATACCTTTATATCAAGTATCAGGACAAAATTAAGCCTTTACGGGTGATATATTTTCGTGGTGCCTGTGCCCTTCTATTTAAAACAGTAAAAATTTTATTTGACCAAAATAAGCAAAATGTAACTTTTGGTTTTGGTTTGATTCCATTTATAAAACTTATATCTACTTGATTCTTTGCGATGAACTGAACTTTATGTCTTCAAACGGTTTCCTTTTACAAAATTAATGAAATTTCTTATGAGAAAGTTAAAAGTAATTTCATAAAATATTTTGATCCTATTCTTTTTAAAGAAGTGGTAAAATATTTGATGTTAGTTATTAAACGATGGAAATGCAGGTAGCCTTTTTAAAAGCTGCTCTAATTATTTTAAGGATTATGAATAAACTCTAGCCATTCTATTTAATTTAGTGAATAGTAATACCTAGCTATATTAAGTTCATGAACTTCACTGCGTCTGATATAGTTACTTAAATTTTCGCCGTAGAAAGAATACTCAAACTATAAAGATTGCAATTTACTGTGTTCAAAATCCGATCAGTAGAAAAATTGTAATAAAATATTTCACGCAAAATTTATTTTTTAAAAATTACTCTAAGGACGACACTTATTATAAATTTGGAAAAGAAAAAAAAAACAGTTATAAAAAAAATTAATATCAATAAGAAAATTTGTCTCTTGTTATCATTCTCAACGCTGTTAACAGTTTGTTTTCATTTCAACAAAAACCACAAATCAGCTTTTTTAATGGTTATGCATACAGCAAAGAAAAAAAAAAGTAAAAAAAAAAGAAATTGGCCAGACACCGCGCTAGATCTTGAAATTCAACACTCTGATATAAAACTTAAAACATTTTTGATAAAAAATGAAAACATTTCCTACTTCACATTCAACTTTCTTTTCTTCATAATTCTTTGGTTAAATTTTTTATAATTGCTAATAATCGTTATTACTAGAGCAAAAAAAAATATATATATATATATATTTTTCAAGATTCTCTGGCTTAAAAAAATGAGAATCGCTGTATTACTCTATGTTACTGGCCAAATGTAAATAATAAAATAAAATAAAATTATATTCCCATAAATAAAAAGAACACGGAGTTTCATATTTCCTAAAATGTACCTAGTGTCTAAATAAAAAATGTGTAAAAAAACTAGAAGGATAGAAAAAGTATTAGTTTGCATTTAATTAGAGAAATACTAGATTCCATAATTTTATTAAAAAAAATAAATTCCGAGATGGGTCGCTCAGAGTAGGATAAATAGATATAATTTACATTTAAAGGCCTATTGGGGTCAGACGCACTATATTTCAACCAGGAATTAGAGAACTCAGTAAAAATAGTCATTGTTGATCCAAGTACAATCTATATCATTGTTCTCAACTCATTTTTTTTACCTACTAATCGTATAAATGATTTTCTTTTTAGAAAAAAAGACGGGATTTTATGGAAAAATAAAATGAGTTCTATTATTATAAGAATTGAGTGACACATTCTGCTATTATACTCTGTTTTTAATGAATTGCATTAGTTTTTAAAAATTTGGCACGGTTTGCTAAAAATGCTTGGAATGTCTGAGTTTTTAATTTTAAGATTATATCGTAGTGTAAATACAATGAACTGAATGAAGCAATAACTTATAGTTTCTGTAACAAAGAGAAAATAAGTTTTGTAGTTGTGCATCATGTTGTCACGCTATTAACCCACACCATGTTTCTATTTAGCTTTTGTGCGTGCAAATATAAAGTTATTTATAGCAAAAGAACTCTATTTTAGTCTGCTTAGTCTGTGTGTTTTCTCCAAATTAGATAAAAAAAATCTATTTTAAGCTTGGTGTTTTCCTTTTTTAAAGCATTTTTTGAGTTTACAGAGAAGAGGGGTGTTGTGTTGTGACGTATTCAAATTGCATAAAATGATGCAACAATTTGTTATTTTCATTATTGATGACTTTAAGTAAATAAATAAAAGCTTAAAGGGAAATCGTTTCTGAGAAGTATTAGCAATTATAGAAGTCACATTTACTAATAGTTCGTTCCCAAACTCTATTTATGGCTACTGTATTATAAAATTGCTTTTATTTCAATATAACTGCAGAAAAATAAAAATATAAAATTGGAAAACACGATAACTTTTACTGCTAACTATAAAAACAATATTTAATCAAAATCAGGTGATGACGCATTCTCTGCTCAATATAGAAAAGATATTATAAAAACACACGTAAGGCCGATATTTTCTACCATATTAATATAAAATCTTTTCAAGAAAAAAAATTCCATTTTTGTTCCCGTCTAGGGTTAATTTAATAATAGTAAAGCAAAAAGTGTCTCAGTGGACAGAGCGTTCGCCTCCGAATGAGGCGACCCGGGTTCGAATACCAGTGTGGCTGATTGATATGAATTCTGCTCCCGACTCGCACCGATCACAGTGCTGACATAAAACATCATCAGTGGTAGACGGATCGTGGGTAAGAACCTCCTTGGCGTCGGACTAAGGGGAGAATTTTTGTAGTTTACCTCTCCATGTAACGCAAATGCGGGTTAGTTCCATTAGAAAGTCCTCCACGAAGGCTAGTTTGTCCCAATGCTTGATCCAGGAGTTCCTTTGTCTGCTGGGTTAGGTTAGAAGTTACTAGGTTACAGAGTTGAACATCGATATTCGTTAACTCAGAATTGAGCTTGCTGTGCAACACCGGTCATGAAATAAGATGAAATAGTACTACGAAAAGAAAAGTTTTTACTAATATTTTTAGAATTATTTATTTAAGAAAGGGACAATTTTTTAAATTTCTGTTTATGCACTCATTGAATGATTGAAAACAGATATTGCTACAAGCTTTTAGCATCCTTTTTTGATTATTCTTTTATTTATTTTTTTGTTATAATTTTCGATAATTTTTTTCAAGATATGTTTATATTGCAGACTTGTCTATGAATTTTTCTAGTTAGTTTGAAAGAAAATTTTTATTAAGCTTATTTTCTACGCAAGCGATAAAATTTTTTTAGTTGTGAGTTGTGATGGTATGAATTAACTAGAAAAATAAATATGACGTAATTTTAAAAATTTATGAATGATATGCGTTTTGTGGCGGAATAAACCTGAATGTTGCAAGCCAGTGTATAATTTTTGTTTGGGACTGAATTTTTTTAAAGTTCCAAATAGAAGTGATAAACTTTTTTATTTTTATATACTAGTAGGTAGACCTGAAGATAGCCATTCGTCACGTGTCGTGTGAGCGAAAGAAAATGGCGTCTGAAATTAAACATGCAACCGGACACTTTATCCCATCCCTTTTTTAAAAAATTGTTTTATGATAAAAATACATATCAATCTAGAAAGAGACTCTGGAAAAAAGAATTTGCATTAAAATATCTAATATCTCCCTTCAAAACTTTGATCCTTCAGACTCCATTAATTTGTGTCGGAAATATTCATGTGAAAGAAGAATTCTTTTACATTTCACATATTTCAAAGTTGTAACGTATGTATTAAATTTATTTTACCTCTTCAGATATTTTATGTAAAACTAGAACTCAGTGGCGATACAGCCCATAGAGGGCCAAGGTCTATTGGGTCCATCTCAGTTTTCTTGATCTTGGGCTCAGGGCAGATGCTCCGGTTGGGTGGTCACCCGAACCTCGGAATTCCCAGTGTTTAGTTCCCAAGCATGCTTGGTACTCATTTTATCGACCCACTTAGTCAACCTTGCCCTGATAAGGATCGAACCAAGGATCTGTGGCACGAGAGTGCGAATATTTTTATATAAATTCTTCGATGTCAATATATTTAACTAAATTTTGTCACATATTTATATTATTTTCATTTTTGAATTAAATTTTTATAGCCGTGGAGTACTTGGAATATGATTTCTTGAAAGAAAATTATAATTTAATCCAAACAAACAGAAAGTTTGCAAAAAGTAGCTTTCAAATGAAAAGGACCTATCGATATCGGTCACCAAATCATTAGGCTTAAGGAAAAAACTGCTACTAAGACATTAAGAGTCCTACCGACAGCTGGCAACTAACTGAAAATTTATATTGCTTGGTTGGTTCTAATGCCACTTGCCACGCGGGCAAGCCTGCTTGGTGAAACCGAGTAAATTTAAGGCAGAGTGTGCGATTCTTGTTTTTCAGTGGCGCCATCTATGGCCAAAAACTCGACTTCTGCCACACCATACGTCGCACCCGTTAATAGGGCGGACCCATTCGTACATCCAGTCATTCATCCACAGATCGTAATTTTGACCTGAATCAGAGAACGATCGATCTCCAGTTCAGTACCCCCAGAGGTTTGATTTGTTATGGGAACATGGATGACTTTTGCGACTCGACAGTTTTAACGTGCATCAGTCACTTTACTACATGGGGAGTCTTCGATATTATTGTATATTAGTAATAGCATTGATTTCTAAAACAAGCAGGAAAAAAAAAGACAATTTTCACTCTATATGGATGGTTGACCATGTAAAGCTAGCACACATGGCACTAGTAGTTAAAATTCGTGCAAGACTTCCGGGTTACTATTTCCGCTTGATTTTTACGCCTAAGCTTGAAAAGGGGCGCCATAAAATATTATTATATTTATAGTGCTTACAATATGACGCGTTTTCCAAATTTAAGTGTCAACGAAACAAACAACATAAGAATTCGGATGACTCCGCAAGCATGCTACGCCCTGCAAGATGCAAACCAAAAAATATCTAACGGTGATATTTTACATAAATATAGCCAAATAAGGGATAACATCCAAAACACGGCAAACCTTACACTTTTTATTATGCTGTGATATTAATTTTGTTAAATTTGATTCAGGCTCACAACTAGTTAGAATTTATAAAATACAGAAAACTCTTATGAACGGTAAAACTACGCTTAAATTTAAGCTTAAATCACATTAATAAAACTCCCTAGGCAGAGCCTGTGACAAAAGTAGGGGTATACGGGGCAGTTTACCCGGACCCCACATCAGAGGGGCCCCCAATTCAAATTGAAAGTTTACTTTAGGTTTCCATGTTTAATGAACTTTCATTTAAAAAAAAATATCAGTACAGTGTAAAACCCGTTTTATGTTAGCTTCTTTATTAATCTATCGTATGAACACAAAAACCTATAATTCGTAAATTCGTGGTTCCTAGTGCGGAATTCAGCTAAATTTTCGCAATTACTATATCAAAAGTCTGCATTTTTACATATCTCAAAATGCGATATGTTTACAAAAATATACAGGCTTCTAATTGGCTTAAGTGAGCCATCGTATTTGCGCAAATTTAGCTGTTTTCCGCCCTAATGTCAGCAAGGATATGGATTTTTCGCAGCTAGATGACTAAGTTAACAATCAGAAAACTGTATTCGGCATGATGGACGTAGAATTGTCAGAAAATCAATAAAATGGACGGAACAATATTTCGTCTGACCATTGGGGGACTTAGAGCTATTTTAGGTTCCAGTCAATTTCTTTGTTATATATGTATAATGAGATGAAAAATTCATATACCTCTATAAAGTTCAATTCTTCATAACTGACGTAGTGAAGCAGTAGGGGGCCCCAGGTAAATTTTTGCCCCAGGCCCCAATCAGGCTAAGTCGGGCCCTGTCCCTAGAATATTAAACCTGCTTACACATCGCCTTGTAAGCATTACATAAGCGAAGGGATACATCGGAAGTTTTCCAAATTTTTTCCTCTTTTAGGAAGATTGTTATTGTTTACATGCAGTCAATTATCCATACATACATGCCGCGTGATTAATCAACGTTTAGATTTTAAGCTATTTTTTACGCTAAAAAAGAATCGATATGGTCAATCCATTTGTCAATATCGTTTACCTCTCTATTGCTTCTTTCAAAATCAACCTACTAATAAATGATAGTTCAAAACAACAGCTTGAATTTACCAGTAATCATTTAAGAAAAAAGCTCACGAATGCAGAAGCGATAATTTTTTTTCCCTACCTAATATGTAATTTATTAGAGGGCAAGCTGTAATGAGTAATAAATTGGTAAACATGGCATTTATGTAGCGTGCAGTATAAAATACCAACAAAGCCTTTCCACAAAATATTATATTTCATCTTTCCTGGAACATATTTTAAATATTTCATGAACAGTCTAACTTTTGAAATTGGCGATAAAATATTCTCTTTCCTTCTTCTTGTAGTAAATTTACTTTTAAATTAGGAAAACATCGTGCTTTGTGATGATAAATTGATAGTGATATGATAATTTCTGTTTCATGCGGTATCGATTTAAAGTTAATCCATAAATACGTGTTTTATTTTATTTCGTTAACTGCTTTTTTAATATACAGCATAAATTTATTCGACGAATTTAAATAAAAACAATATTTTGCGTTTTATGCTTTAAAATTATGGAAAGTGGGGTAAGACCGGGTTGTTGAGATTCGAAGGCTAAACTGTTCGAACTACAAAGTGTCAGATTTAATCAAAATATTCATTATTTAGTTGATAATATACCATTTTTGAAAAGTCAGAGATAAAGTTTTGAAAAGTGCGCAAAATAAAAAAACGGACCACCCTGAATATCTTTTGATCTAATCATCGGATCTGCACGTTCTAGGACTCAATCTTTATGGTTCAAGGGAGTGACCTCAAATTTGTTAATTAATTAGCGCAGACGATATTTTAAGTTACGAAATCAGACACAGAAATCTACTTTCTCGGAATACATACCTTTTTTTCCCGACGGATTCGGATTTTTGACCTCCAAAATATAGGGAGTTTCCGCAATCAGGAAAATATGGTCCCAATAGTTTGGTCAGGAGAGCGTTCCGAAGTTTGGACAAATGGTAAGTTAATTTTACTTTTTGCGTATTTCACCATATCTCGAGAAATTTAAAAGCGAATTGAGAACTTTTTACAAGCAATTATAAAATTCATTTACCTAAAGATTATATGCAAAATATAATTTTAATAAATATTTATTATTTTATTTAGAATTAGGCAAAAAAATTGGGCATACTGTTTTTTACATCATTTTACACGGCGAAATACAAAATTTGAATGAAATTGGTCGAATAGTTCCTGAGAAATCGACTTTTTTGAAATTCGATTTCTTATGAACTATCTCAACGATTTCTCACAAATTTTGTATTTTGCCATGCTTTTATATGCTTTTTTTATCGGAGAAAAGCTGGATTCAATAACTAAGTTTTATTATAATTACTTAATTATTTAAAAGATAAAAATCAACACGATTTTAATTATTTTGTTTACTGATTACTACTGAAGTAATAGCAATATTTCATACACTGTACTACAAATTTAAGATCCGTGTTACAATTTAAACACCATTGTTTTCACCAAGTCTTTCTTGAAAACATAGTTCGATTTTAAAATGTCGAGAAACAACGTGTCCTTGAAATTGTACTATTTGATGACATTTCAATCAATAACTTTTGTCTCGGTCACGAAAGATGAGATATCTCCCGTATTCACTCTGTTTATCTTGAAGAAATACAATTATAAAATAGTAATGATAATGTTTTTTTGTAATATAGTATAATGATATTATGTTAAATATTTAAAAACCCTGATTTTTGTTTTTCGTGAAGGATGATAATGATATCCAATTGCATAGATTAAATGATGTTTTCTATTTTTAAAATTGGCAAGATAAATTTTAAAGTTTGCAATCTTTTTTAAACAAAAACTAATAACGAATATGGTTTTAAATTTCGGAAATTTCGAATATGATTATAAATTCCTGACAATCAACTTTCAAATCAATTTCAGTTGTTTTAAAATGAAACTACTTTTTTTTATTAAAAAATACTTATCTGAAAAAAAAAAACCCAATAACTAAAGTTGAAAAATTGAACTCAACATTGCTAGAATTTTCGTTATGAATTTACGGTAAAATAACCGGCTGCATTTTATCAATCCGATTAACCATAAGGTTTATGGCCAGGAACATTTTATCTTTACGGTTTTGAAACCGTTTACAACTAGTACGGTTAAAAAACGTGAATACAAAACTATACAGTTTATTAATTCATCATTATTAATATATCATTTGCAACTAGCATAGTTTCTGCATCATGAAAATGAAATTTAAACGGACATTGGAGCTCTGTGAATGCTGAGGCATTCATGCGTGGATGATAGTTTTTGTCTTCTGGAATGGAAGAAATATTGTAGCATCAAAGCTGGGATTCGAACCCCTGTTCTGCCGGTCATGTGATTAACCGATTAATCCCCGTGGCTACAATATGTACCCAGCAGCTTGGAACAAAATGTAAACTGGGCCAAGTTGATGCGATAGAATTCTGGTTACATCGTATTAGGTAAAAACAATCAATAAACATTTTTTATCACATCTGACAGTTTGAATATTACTCTTTTATGGTTATTTAACTGTTTTGGTTGATATTGGTAAATAACAGTTAAATAAATTGCTATTAAACCATTTTTACCGAGGAATTTCTAACAGTGTATCATGCATTTTGAATAATAAATTTTAATTGAAAATGAGATTATTTTTATTGGTAAAGGAAATCAAATAAATGAAAATAAATTTTAATAAAAACTACTTTCATTTTCTTTCAGCCTAAAATGTCGGCAAACCGAATAGCTTTAGTTGAGAAAGCCTTCGATAAAGCAGATAAAACAGGAGACGGAAAACTGACTTATGAAGATCTGAGGGGTATATATTCAGTGCAGAATCATCCTGAATATTTGAATGGACAAGCGACAGAAAAACAACTACTGAACAGATTTCTCAAAAATTTCGAAGACGGTGGTGTAATAGATGGAGTGGTAAGTGATATTTAAAATAATAATTTTAGAACTCACTAAGTTCTTATGGATCTCTAAATTTTCGTCGGGTATTTTTTGTTCAATTACTTTTTTCTACCGAACACGATGATAAATATACCTCAGAATGTTTCTGAACAAACAAGCAAGTTAACAAGTTAACTCGGTGAATTGGTTACCTGGTTTTTAAGCGTTACAACTGCATGTATCGATTAAAAAAAAAAAAAAACGGAAGGAGACAGTAATGTTCAGTTTCCTGCGTTCTGCTTACAAAACCAGAGTATTTTTCAATGAAATTTCAAAATCAGTTAAAAAGGTTGCCAAAACTGAGAAAAAATGTTAAACAATGTTTTCAAAATAATCCCCATTTGCTGCAAAAACGTGATTTTGTCTAAAAACAGATAGTACCCATGCAAATATTTTGAACTACCTCGGAAAACATTTTTTAATAGTTTTCTCAATCACTGTCGTCACATTTTGACGAAATTTAATTTGTAAATAATTTATAAATTCGATCCCTCTTTAATCTCGTTTCCTAAGCACATCGCAGCAAACCGTACGTTTCTATATTTTTCCAATTTTCTACAATTGATTTTTCAAATTCTCAGGCTTTTTTTTTTAGACACCCAATGTTTCAATATTATTGTAATAGCATTATAAAAGTTTTTAAAATAACTTGGATTCTTAAAACTTAAAATTCGTAAGTGGATTTTAATACATTTGAATACGTTCGTATTTGGTGCAGGATAAACGCTTCCGCCATGTTGCAGAAACAAATCAATATTCATGTAGTAAATAAAAGCTTACTAACTACAAACTAAGATAAACAGCGTTAAAGATCGCAAAAAATATTTATAAATGCAGACAGCTGTTTCGGATGCTCAAAGGGTAACCTTCATCAGTGCAACAGAAAGAAATGACGACGATCTGGATTTGTTAAGGTGCCTGCCCGCGTTAGAGGGCACCTGACCTCTTAATCTAATATTGTGCTCTAGGGCGACTGGTACTAATGGCATAGAGAAGAAAGATAAATGGAGGAGTTCAAGGCAGTTGGCCGTTGATGACGCTCATCTATTGCTCAACATTGTTGGGATTCTAATCATAATTTTGATTTTTCTTCGTCTAAAGTCATTCAAACTTGTTCTTCAATTTTTGATTTAGATTTTTATGAGTCCTATAATATTTTCAAAAATTCCAAACTGTTGGTCAATGACCTGACCTATCCAGCGTTCCTTATCTTTCTCCTGTTTGGAAATCTATGATTAAACCTAACTACCCCCCCCTTTTTTTTGTTCTTTGCTTCCCTTTCGTCATTACCCACTCACCCTTCCCTCCTATTGGCCGTTGCTCTAACCCCCTTGTGACGTCACCTTTCTCTATATATTTACCGTTTTCTCTCATTTCTTTCTGTTGCACTGATGAAGGTTGCCCTTTGAGCATCCGANAAAATACTGAAATAAGTTTCCCATCACAATGAGTGTCTTTGATAAAGGAACTTACATACATACATACGTACGTATTAGCGTTTTATATAATATAGATAGATAGATTTCCACATACCTAATAATCAGAGCAAAATTTCATTTAATTCCTATTAAATTTAGAACAATACATCACTTATGGGTCTAATTCTTACCTAACTAAAGCTGGCACCATTTTCTCAAACTTCTTAAATAAAATTATTAACAATAATATTATTAAAGGAGTTTTTTCTTGGATGATCACCAAAAATTAACCTATTTTAGGATTTATTAAACAAAATAAAAATAGCCCTATTGCGATTTTCGATTCGATGCTTACACAAAAGAACTGTCACTGAGGTTATAGGTTACGTGTCTGTGTATCAGTGATCGTTTTCTTCTCGAGTTGCAAGTACGCAATTAGAATGAATTACGTAAAGATTAGAAAAAACTTAAGCTATTTGAAAGAAAAAATATTTTATATATATTTCTTTCGTTGTTCTAAAACACAGTATAGATTGGTATTCCTCTTCGCCGGCACAGGTAATAATCACTGGGCCTTAAATTTTTATTTTTTAGGGGACAGTTGTTTGTTATTAAAAAATAAATAAATAAATAAATAAATAAATAAATAAATGAAATAGCTTGTTCCGGATGAGTGGAGAAGTACAGATAGATTATTTTCTTCACGCAGAAATATAGATCTTTGCCTTCTTATAAAACAATATGAATTTTTAAGGTTAACATCAGAAAGAACAAAGTTATAAAGCATGACATAAACCTAAAAAATTTCAAATATTGTAGATAAACACTAATCAATGCTGCTTTGATTTAGAATCATGAATTATTTTATTCTGAGTCGTGTCAATTAAATCACCAGGAGGCACAAAATGTCAACAGAAGTAAATCCTAAACATTTCATTGTAAATAAATATTACGAAGTTACAGACATCGTCTTAGGTCGCGGTGGATTTTCAACCGTGTATTTGGCATATCACACGGTGTTTCGTAACAAGGTAAAAATAAATATTTTTGATAATTTTTTCATCTAGTAAATCAACACCATCATAATTATTGTTTCATTTCATTTTACACAACACAAAATTTATCACTCCACTGAGTTAAAAAGAATGGTCAGAACTACCAGAATATGGTGAAATTTATCACGTTTCTGGCTCCATGGGGACGCCTAAAAGCTTGGTAAGTTTTTCGGATGCGCAATCGTAATCATTGTGGTGAAGTTAACGGGGAGATTTCCGTATCGTGATCTGTGGCAAAATAATCACTAAGTCTGGCGAAGAAACTAAAAAAAAAGTCACAGAAAGGGACCAACTCGAAAGGTATAACTCGTAGCTTCCCCCGGGTAAACATCTACACGTTTCTTTCTTTCTGTTTCTTAAAATATTTTTTTCTTTCCCCGTTTAAAATCAATTTGGCGCCTTGGTGACTGTAGTTGGTGTGGCAAATCACGATATAGAAATATCCCTATGATATCTTAGATCACGCATAAGAATAATTTATTCGCTTAAATTTACTTTTCAGTTTTGTATTTTTTTATTAAGTGTGTGATCATAAGAACAATTATCTTAAAAATCACAATTTCCGATAAATAGTTACCATATGAACAGAAAAGTTACCAAATGAATGGTTTAAATACCGTATATGTTAGTTTTATTAACCAAAAATATGTTTATTTTCCTTCTTTTTTTTTACCAGTAATGTTATCACCGTACAGTACGGCAATTTCACCAGAATATTTTTCACTATATGAAATATATTTTTTTTCTTTCAAGTTTAACTTGTTGAAATTCTTGTAAAACATGAATTTCCTTTCGTGGCTACATACTCGGTAATTTTGGCACATAAAATGCATGAGCACTATCTCAGGTAAGGTAAAATGTTATTCTATTTTATTCCTTGCTACCTAATTAAGAAAATACATGTCGCAGAGTTTAACAAAGTGTCTCAGAATCACAGAGTTTTGAATCTATTTTTCTTCATTCCCAAGCTGATTAATTTTGGAATGCTTTCATGATACTTTCAGGTTGCCTTAAAAGTAATAAATCGAGATGATATTAAAGAAGACTATGTAACTCGCAATTTACAGCGAGAAGCTAAAATCTTGATGAAGTTAAATCATCCAAACATCGTAAAATTCTATCAAGAATTATCGGTAAGTAACTTCGAAGGATTTTTTGAAAGTCAATTAATTCTATCTAAACATCATTGTCTTGAGCTACAACAGCTCTAGGTAATGTTTTCTGTACAGTGTGCAAACAGAAAAAAAAGAAAAAGAATATAATTTTATGTGGCAAAATGCAAAATTTGAGCGAAATCGGTCAAATAGTTCCTGAGAAATTAAATTAAAAAAAAGTTAGATCTTTAAAATTCGATTTCTCAGGAGCTATTCCACCGATTTCGCTCAAATTTTGTATTTTGACATATAAAATTACATTCTTTAAAATTATGCACAAAATACATGTAAATATGCCTTACAATTCAAACGTTTCGCGACTGTTAGTAAACAAAATTAAAAAAAAAATAGTAGATATTTACTAAAATTTATCTTGTGCATGGAATTATCTTTGAATAAACGAAATTTATAATTGTGTGCAAATATTTTTCAATTAGCTTTAAAAGTTCTCGAGATATAGCGAAATACGTAAAAAGTAAAATTAACATTTAGGGGTCTAAACTTTCCAGCGCTCTCCTGACCAAACTATGGGGATCACATTTCCCAGATTTCGGCTACTCCTTATATTTGGGGGGTCAAAAATTCGAATCCGTCGAAAAAGCGGTATGTTTATTTAAAGAAAGTACGTTTTTAAGTCTGATTTCGTAACTTAAATTATCGCCTGCACTTAATAATTAGTAAATTTTATGTCACCCCCTCGAGCCATTACGATTGAGTCCTAAAGCGTGAAAATCCGATCAAAAGTTATTCAGGGTGGTCCGTTTTTTTTTCTTTTTGTGCACAGTGCATAAGATCTTATTATGTAATAAATGCCGTTCAGTTTCAAACCAGCCATGTTTTAAAAAAGTTGATTTTCTGCAGCAAAGGAGCAAGGAAACAAAACTCTTTGTTAAAGGAGGCATTAAAACAGCGTATTTTAAAGCAGTATAGAAGGAATCAGGGGCACGTGGCGCAATTTTTTATATTGCCGACTCTCACTTTGGATCTGGCTTTTTTCGCTACAAACCATGATTTAAATTGCGTACAATTTAATGTGAAATACAGTGTTTTTAAGATCGCCAAGGATATAAGTGTTAAGCTCGACTGAGTTGTATTAAAAAAAATTAAGTGAATTATATTTGAAATCACTCTTATGTAAAAAGTCTAGGACTTCAGAAAAGTAATTCTTCAGTAATTTTTAAAATCGCAACACACATTAAAATGAACGGGAAAATTACGAAACTCAAAATACTAAATGATGTGATTCAGATTTATAAAATTCTTATTGCATTAAAAAAAAAAATCAAACTAATAAGCTACATACTACAAAATTATTAAATGGTGATGAATAAATAATACTTTTAATGTTTCAATAATGTCCAACAGCAACTGTTGTAGATTTTAATTTAAAAAAAAAGAAACTATAGACCAAAAGTTAACATGGTAAACAAATTACGTAGTAAAGATTCAACTTTCGTTTCCATGACGTTAGATCACATTTCTTCTTCCTTGTTTTACAATTATTATTATTGGAAAACAAATATGGAAATGGTCAGTTTAAATACTAATGGTCTGTAGGATTTGGCCTGTTTTTGCAGCAAAACGTGATTTTTAAAACCCATATAAAACGCGGATTTGATCGAATTTAACGAATTTTAATTCCAGTCCGCACCGACTATAGTGCAGACGTAAAATATCATGAGTAAAAATCACCTAGCCGTGGCAGTTTTCGTGATTTTCCTATCACAGTGACCTCCATGAAGGCGAGTTTGTCCCAATACCTGTTCCAGAAGTTTCCTAGTCTTTTGGGTAGGGTTCAAAATTACACGGCTTCAGAGATGAACACTGATAGTCGTAAGCTCAGAATTGGGTCGGCCGTTCAACAATGATTATAAAAATAAAATAAAATAGTTCTTTTCATCATGAAACTCAGTGGGTTCATTAAAATAGTAGCATATTCAATTTGAGTGTTCCGAAACGATAGCTTTAAGTACATTTGTTGTCAAAAAGAAGGACAAAAAAGTATAGAAATTGGGGATATTTAAGCGAAGAAAATAAACTAAAACGCGAAAACAAATCACTATTGTGGACGGCAGGGTACAAAACAACAAAACTTATTTGATTGCTGGTTGCAAATTGAAGACATTTCTAATGACATTTTCTTGACGCATCATAATTTCGTCTAGCAATCAAACAGGTTTTGATGTTCCGTACGTCAGCCGTCCTTGACTGTGATTTGTCAGATTTCGGTAGTATTTTTCTGTTTCTACCTCGATTATATACTAATCTGAGAACATCAGCCTGCATACTTTTTTGTTTTCCTTTTTGACAAGTATTGTAAAAAACTATTGAAGGTGGTCAGTACGGAACACCCTGTTTATGCATTTGCTTTTGTATTATTTTTAAACCATTTGTTCCTGACTGTTCTTTTGTTGTATTACAGCAAAATGAGTTGTATTGCCTATCACTGGAATACGTTAAGGGTGTAACTTTGTCGCAATATTTGAAAAAACAAGATTCCTTTCGTGTATCGGAGAAGATTGCGAAAGCGCTCTTTTATCAAATGATTTCGGCTGTCCAGCACATGCATCAAAATAAGATACTACACAGGTAAAGAAAAAAAACTTCTGGTAAAAGTGAGCTATTTTCAAATGAGCTCTAAGGTCTCTTTTATTTGAACTAAAAATATTGATATATAAATTGATTTGAGATAAAAAAAATAAAACTCACACTTTCGTTTTCTATATCTATCACTATCAAACGATAAAAAAAGTTTTACTTCTTCTATATAAACAAATCTTTATTTAATGTTATTAGGAATAATTTTTAAAAAAACATTCAATTTTTAACAATTTAGCTATTTCTTATTGGTGTAAAGCCATTTAAAACTGAAAACTTGCCTAAAATCCAAGGTATACTGTTTGCGTGCAATCCCGATATTCATTAAGAAAAAAAAAACCTTTTAAAAGATAAATAAAATGTTAATTTCTGTAATAAAGTAAGAACATAATGGAAATTTTAGGTTATACCTTACACTTTTACCTCTGGGAATGTTCGAAATGATCACGATTACGGTCATTGATCCCGTACAAAATTTATTAAATCCACACAATTTAAAAAAAAAAGTTTTATAAACGATCATGATAACAATCATGGCACATGCAGTGATTGTTTCAAATTCTGGAGATTTTTTTTTAAGGGAAAAGTTTAAAATAATAATGAATAAGAATCATTGATCAATTTTTTCAAATCTTTAGGATTTTTTATTTTTTAAATTCTGTTTGCTTAAACGACTACTTTCAACCCCTTCATACTTTCAGTCCCATGGGGAAAATCTTCCCTAAAGATCATAACAGTTGGTGGTTATGCTGATACTCAAATATCAGCTGAACATGTTTTTAATAGAAAGACGATACACTCTTATATATTTCAGAATATTTGTTAAACACGAAGAAAAAAAAATAGACAAATAAGGTTGCCCAAATTAACATTTAAGCGGCGAAGGAATGGAAACACTATCGAAATCTGTTGAACACTAGTGAGTTAGGTAATAAGAAGAACATCGAAACCAGTTTGATTGCCTAATGAGGCATGGAGGTGCTTTCAATAATTGCCTTTCAACTTTTCCGATTTCCGTTCAGCAATCAAGCAGATTTTGACTTTTAGATCCTGGATATACTTCAGAAGAAGAAGCAGAATTCGTTAGATTACTTTAACTTTTTTGTTCTTCGTTGATTAAATTTTAGTTTGAGTCCCCATAGTTGGTCCCCCAATATTTCTTGACTTCATATTTGACATAAATTTTAGAAACATACATATTAAGGGGAATCATTACGGAAAACTCTGTATACATTAATGTCTATTCGGTAGTGAGTGATTACTTCACTGTTTTTTTTTCTTTTCTTTTTATAGTTTCTGAGTTGCATGACGCAATTAAAAATAACATAGAAGTAGGAATTTTATTATAAAAAAAATTTGATTTTATTTCCTGTAAAATATTAATTAAAAAATCTCTTATTTAAACCTCTAATTCCCAAAAATTACTCAAAAATTTTGTTTCAATATTACACTCATGGACAAAAAAATTAGCTCACCAAGAAGGAGTCGTCAAATTGAAACGAAATTATACATACGATGACTACTTTGATATAAGTAAATGATTAGAAAATCAAAGATTATCGTTTTTCTTTGATTTTCTAATCATTTACTTATATCAAAGTAATCATTACGCATGTAAAATTTCGTTTCATTTTGAGTACTCCTTCTTGGTGAGCTAATTTCTTTGTTTATGAGTGTACATGATTGCGGAACAAAAGTAATAAATATAAATTAAAAATTATTTTTTTGCTTTTAATTATCTTTAGATAAATTATTTTCTTAGTTTCGTGCAAAAAGTATTTGACACTGTGAAATAATATGTCAAAATAAATGAAAAAATAACATTAAGAGTCACATATTATCAATCTCTCTCCTAACTGAACCATTGTGATGTCACATTTTCCAGATTATACTATTATGGGAGTATTTTCCAGATACTCCCATAATTTGAGAATTAGTAATACGAATTATTTGGAAGAAAAATATGCTTATTTAGTGCAAGAATGTTTTCGGCCGCAATTTCGTTACTTTATTCGTAATTTACACTAATTTATTTACATAGTTTAGTTAAACTCCTTAAAACATGAAATTTGCTTCTTAGTTCTCGAAATTCTTATGATTGAATCTAAAGCTGGGTGGCGCAGTTGGTTTGTCGTTGGCCTTCTGAGCCCAAGTCTGTGGGTTCGATCCCCGGCCCAGACACCGGATTTTCGGGATGCAGAAAATCCTCAACGGCGATGTCGTATGATTATGCAGCATGTGAAAGATCCCTGGAGTGCCTTATTGGCTCTTGGCATTTCCGGCTAAATTAAATTCCTAGTGCACTTTAGCATCCAAATAGAGTCTCGGTGCTGCCATCTAGTGTGGCAGAAACTAGACGTCCAAATTAACATGACCAACGGTACTTCACCCATTGTGGTGGTCCTGAAAGAGTGGATACCACCTCTGGAGAACGCACTAGGTCTGCTCATTGGCAAGACTGATTGTGCAGCCCATTGGAAATAATAATAATAAAAAAATCTAAAGCTATCTAAGGTAATTATTATTATTATATATTTTTTTTTTTGCTAACTGAATAACTGTAAAAGATTCTGCGTTATCAGTTACTGTATTTGATGAACCCCAAAACATCTATTTTTGTCATAACGTTGAATCTATAGCATCTTAATGTTAACAAATGATATGACAAACAACTACAATTAATAACTTGATTAAACATTTCATTCGCTTAAAAAATATACAAATTGGAAATAACAGTCGACATGTTTCAAGCGCCCATTTTTAAAACTTGCCAGACGTGAATGAGAAGAAGTAAAAGTGATTTGAACATAATTCTAAACTTGAAAAGTGATTGAACGACATTAGTTCCCCAAACCACTCCATAGAGTGTGGAAATGCATTTTACTCTGATTTGCTCCTCTTGGCTACTGTGGTTTTTCCTGTGCATTTTTTCTTTAAATTTCGTTTTTTTTTTCTCTCTCTCGGCTAATGTGGTTTTCATAATTTTGTTTCTCACCTTAATTTTTCCATTTTTTTCTTCTTTTTGTTAACAACTTTGCGTTTTATTTTTCAAATCACTTTTGTTTCTTATCATTCACGTCTGACAAGTCTTGAAAATGGGCACCTGTTTTCGAGCTATTGATACATGACAAATTTTATTTCCAATTTGTATATTTTTGAAGCTAATGAAGTTTTTAATCAGGTAATATATTACCGATTCAGTTTTTTGGAATTATTTATTTAAGTTCAATTAATATTTGCGATTTTTTTTAAATATATTTTTTAGAGATTTAAAGCAAGAAAATATTCTTTTGGAACATGGGCGAGTGATAAAAATTGTCGGTAAGTAAGTTGTTTATCAAAAAATATCTCATGATCAATAAATTTGTTGAAATTTTTTCTTAAATAATAATAATCTTAAATATTTCATCATTTAGTCTTTTATTTATAACATTTGAAATCTGGACACTTCTCAGAATTTGAGAACAATAACATTAACAGCACTTAATTCTGAATTCTATTGATATTTATGTACTTACTAATATCAATATTCACTACTTATGCGATATACTTTCAACTTAAATTGACTCTATAATAATTTTATTCTACAACTTTTGGAATATTAGGACTTAAACAATAAATTTATGGGAAAAAAAAACTATCGGTCTTATGTTTATTAAATTTTTTGGCAATTCTTATTTTTAAAATGTAAGAAAACAGCATTCTGTTCAAGCAACATTTTAAAAAAGCATTGAAAAATTATTTTTAAGGATAAATAAATTTAAAGTACATATTTTAATGATTTGTTTTGTTTAAATAATGGCACGTTTTCATGTTTCACTTTTTTGAACTTGCATCAAAACATTAAATTACTTATTTAGAATATTTTTGATAGTAAGAAGTCACTTTTCACTGTAAGGTGACATTTTTACAATAGGGAAAGCGTACTTTGGTATTGGTGACATTACAAGTTTCTAGAGTTTCCTCTAGATGTCAATACAACATACAGAAACATCTTTACGTCCTCGCGTGATGTTTTTCTCTAAACCCGCTTTCCTTAACAATTTGAAAATGTGACATATCATTATATTGTCTCAAGCTCTTCAATTACAGAGTATTTGAGAGTACCACATAAAGAGTACAGTGAGAGTACATAGGTACTTTATTTACATCGCACTAGAGTTGCACAAGAAGCTTTTGGCGAGGGTCTAGGAAATAATTAAACTTGAAAGTAATGATTAAGTAAGATAATTGAACTTCATAGTAAGCAGTCACATTTCTCTTTAAGGTGACATTTTTACTTTAGGGAAAGCGTTCCTTAGTATTGTTAACAAACAGATACTTTACAAGTTTTTAGACTTTCCTCTAGATGTCAGTGCAACATACAGAAACATCTTTACGTTCTCGCATGATGTTTTTCTCTAAACCCGCTTTCCTAAACAATTTGAAAATGCGGCATATCATTATATTGTCTCAAGCTCTTCAATTATAAAGTATTTGAGAGTACATAGAGAGTACCTAAGTGCTTTATTTACGTAGCACTAGAGCTGCACAAGAAGCTATTGGTGAGGGTCTGGGAAACATTCCTGAGGATGATCCGAAGACATGCCATCACAATTTTATTGATCCTCTGCAGAGGGAATGGCTCCCCCGTTTTGGTTGCTTGACGACCTGCGTGCGAAGCCGAGTACTTGTGGAACTGTTTAACGAGGACAGGGACAGATACCATTCACCTTGGTTCCTACGCAGGCTGATCAAAGTGGTCATTCCTCACAATTTTCCTACTGGTGGTGCATGATTTTGGGGCTCTACTGAGAACCGTTTCGGTACTGTTGCACAAAGAATTGCAAAGAAACGCATAACTAAACTAGCTGAAAAACAGCAACTGTACATTTGTAACACTCATTTCCTTTGCATTAATGTCTACAAGGTGTCTATTCGTCCTAAATTGGTGATGCCTTATAACTTTGTAATTTACACTTTCTTCTTATTTTTACTGTTTTCGAGATAAGAACGCTATTTTTTCAGTTTTCCCCTAGGCGGAGCTGTAAGCGGTCTCATATTGTAACGCCTAGCCATTTTACCACCATTAACAACTACAGCTGAAGCTGTTCGAAAGTAAAGATAGTCCATACAGAATCTAGTGGGCACTCTGTATTTATACATGAAAAGTATATATTTTTTTAACTTTAACTATTTGTGCGTTTTCTTTTACAGATTTCGGTCTAAGCAATATTTTTCATAATAAAGCTCAATTAAGAACACATTGTGGATCTCTAGTTTACGCAGCTCCCGAATTATTCCAGAATCGATCTGTGTATGGAGCAGGAGTAGACCTCTGGAGTTTGTAAGTATAATTATTCAAAATTACAATTATATTATAAAAAATAGTAGATTTTAACAGCCACTCAAAATTGAATAAAAATTAGTAGAAACCTATTAAAAATATTTTTTTAACAAAGTTGTGAAAGTTAATTAGTAATGCTCACTTTGCGTTAAAATTTAATTTATCGAAAACAAAATTAAACTAGCAAAAAAATACATTTGTAGTGTTTTAGGAAATTTAAGATCAAGAAAGATCATGCGTACAACACAAGTAATAGAAATCTTTATATAGAATCTGCAACACAATGTTAAAATTCTTAAATTATTTAAGATGCAAAGCAAGTGGTGAAATATTTATATTTAAATGTAGAACTTGGAAGATTCGTAAGTTGCAAGAATGTCTAAAGAATGTCTAACAGAGCAATACATGATAAATTAATTGCACTACTAAAAGAAAGTACTTAAAATTATTAATTGAAGCTTGTTTAGAGAAGATGAAAGCTTAACTTATTAAGCTGAAAAATAGGCTGTTAATTCAGAGGAACGTAATTTTTTCAAATTTCACTTAATTTTGTCAGCATTTTTTATGTTTGTTTCATTTTGTCTGCAAGGCTAAAATAAATCTTCATTACCTACAGCCGTGCAACCTTAGTTCTGCTACTGGGTGTTTGAAAACATCTGTTAAAATTAGAATAAATGAGGTAGAATATTCATTAGTGTCTTCCTTTATAGGGGTGTCATTTTGTATACTATGGTGATTGGAAAGATGCCTTTTGAAATCGCTAAAGACGAAAATACTAGCTCCTCGAACTTCCGAAAAAAAGAACTTTTTTTCAAGAGGATATCACAAGGATTAATTCGAGACAACTGGGAAGACATGCAGAAGTTAAGCAAAGGTAGTATTTGTGACTGCATCGTTTCGCAATACTTATGCCACCAAAACATAAATGATATAAATTGATTTAGTCGATTGAAATTTAAATAAATAAAATCGAAAAATTTGGCCATTTTAAAACGTTGCATAATATTTGCTTGGCAAAGAAGTTTTGTGACCAAGGAAATATTACATCTAAGATGAGAGGGCAATATTTTGCGATTAAAATATTTGGTTTTAAAACTTGTTTAATTTTCTCCGCAATGGCCATTATTATTGCATATTTGTACGAAATCAAATATAAAAGTAAATATAATTGCATGTTTGTCAAGAAATAATTGAAAAGCATAGATGTGTCCGATAATAACTTAGAGTGACTGATGACACATTCAATATAGTATGTTGAAGAACATAAAAAGACGAATAAAGAGAAATATTTCATTATTAATAAGTAAATTTTTTTTATTCACTTACACAAGGTTTCTCAGTTTTAAAACTTCTAAGAGGTGCATCCTGACTTTTCAAAATCACGTAGTAATACAGGATGGAAAATGCATTCCTGTAGCAGTGAATGGCGTTTTACGAAAGTTCGGAGCATAATAATGAAAAATTTACCCCGACCTGCCCCAATTTAGGGCATACGGGTAAATGTTTATTAAAATCAAGAAAAACAGAAAAGTACATAAAATACAAAAAGTGCAAAAATACGAAAACATCACAGAGTCTGATGGCAACAGCAGTAAAATAATTAAAATGCTCCGAGAGTCCCACCTTATAGTGCCGAAGCCGACGGGGCTTCCCTTATAGTGAGCCAAAGACACAAATGAAAAATTTTACAACACATCGCAGGAAAGTACAGTATGACATACAATGCATCATGTGCAGGCAGTACATAGGATTAAAACGAGTAATAATACAGAGTAAGTTGGGTCGGGTCGCTAAACCAAAGCGATCATTAACATTGTGACAGGATATAAAGGACACAAAGTATAAACTGTTGATGTATTCAAGAGCAGTAAAACATAAAGTGAACCATTAAAAAAAAAAACGTGTACCTGAAGTGAACATAAGAAAACATTAAAAGGTCACAGGTAAACGGAGGTCCCAAGTTAATATAGGTCAAAGAACCAATACAGTCGATGACAAATTGACAACAGGTAAGACAGAAGAACAAGGCGTAAGGAGCCAAGAAAATCTCAAATGTAAAACAAAAGGAGGTGAAGATGTAAAGTGGTAAAACAAACAATTATCAAATACAATTAAAAGGCGACGCTAAAATTTGCAAAGCAAGGAAAGGCAATGTAAATAAGCCAATTAAAAAGCACAATGTAGTGAATAAATAGATTAAAACAGAATTAAAAAGCGAATGAGATAGATAAAACAACAAAACGTTGTCAAAATAACGGGAAGCGAACAGGCGGGCAGCCCAACAACCGGGACTGAGATTAATTCGTGTAGAGCGGATCCAAAATGTCATCAGGGGCGAGTGCGTCCTCCAGGGTGCGTTTAATGATGTTTTTAATAATTTGCCTCTGTTTATTAGTCCTGCACCAAGATCTTATGTCGCCTCTTCTGTCAAAACTATTTCCCCTAATGGTTGCAAATTTTTGACAGTCAAGCATCAGATGTTTAATAGTCTGATAGTGACCGCAATATTTGCACGCGGAGGATTTTTGAAACATCCTAGCTTGGTGATCGCCAAATACACCATGGGAAGTTAAGAACTGATTAAAGTAAAAATCGCTGGATAAAAAACATTCGTTAACTGTAGGTATCAAATAGTGTGTGTGTCTCCCGTTTGCAGAGCTGCTCCACCTGTCCTGCCATAAAATCCTACTGACCTGCCTCTGTCTATGTTTGACCTGGGGTTTTGTTATGGTGTAGTGAAAGTCCACCCCGCCCAATAAGGTGCCCTTTTTGGCTAAAATATCTGCTTCCTCGTTGCCAGGCTCCCCCGAGTGGGCTTTAATCCAATTGAATAAGCATTGTTTGTTTTGAACAATTTCCTTAATTTCTTCTACAAGAGGGTCTGTTGGGGTTGGGTTTTCAAGGGCCTGCAACGAGGACTTTGAGTCAGAAAAGATGGTGTATTGTTCAATATTGTTATTGTTTGCCCAAAGGGTAGCCAATTTGATTGCCGTAAGTTCGGCGGAGTAGATACTACACTCATTATTTAAACGTGCGGTCTGTTCGTAAATAGTATGGTTATCCAGTTTCACCAAGAAACCACAACCCACCCGATCTTCATTAGCGCCTGTGCTTTCATTGGTCACCTGTTTCTTACTGCCATCAGTGTAGAACTCGTAGCCAACGCCCCTCGGTGAGCCGAAACCCCTACTAACGATCTTTAACTTCGTAGGGTCATACACAGGGACTGAGTAAGGGATATAATTTTTAAGTTCATCTGTTTGATAATCGCTGTCGTTAAATTCCTCTGGTGACCAGGTATGTCGTTTAATCGAAATAGTTGCTCTAATTTTTAAGTCAATAGGTATGACTCCTGCAAGTATTTGTAGTGCCTCCGTGCTAGTTGTAGAGTAGCATTTAGTGATGTTGAGCAATGGAATTCTTTGGATAGTTAGGAGCTTCTGGTTTATTTTAACTTTATTCTTATACCACACGGAGGCACCATAAATGATTTTCTTTTCAATAGCCTGCAGGTATATCAATTTCAAGATATTCGGACTAAGTCCCCATGTGGCTCTACTGAACTGTTTTAGTCTGTCATAGAACGTGATGATATCTGTTCTTAGATACTCCAGGTGTGGGATCCAGCTCAGCCGAGGATCGAGCACCGCACCAAGGTATTTCAATGTCCTGCAATGTTACAATGTCGGAGCATAATAATGAAATTCGAGATCCTGGAACACTTTCTTTGACCATGGTTGCTTTTATTTTTTAAAATTTATTATAAAAAAGACTTAATCATCCCAGCAGTCTTTTTCTTTTTGATATTTCTATGCACAGTGTGCCAAATAAGAAACGGGCCACCCTAAATAACTTTTGATCTAATGATCTAATTTTCACGTTCTAGGACTCAATTCTTAATGGTTTGAGGGGGTGACCGGAAATATGCTAATTAATAAGCGCAAACGATATTTTGAGTTACAAAATTTTTTTTTCAATGGATTCGGATTTCTGACCCCAAAAATATAGCTTGGTTAGGAAAACGGTCTAAAGTTTAGACACTTTAGTATAAAATTTTACTTTTGGCATATTTCGCTTTACCTCCAGAACTTTCCAAGCGAATTGAAAAAGTTTTGCACACAATTATAAAACTCGCTTACCTTAAGATAGTTCCATGCAAAAAATAACTCTTAATAAATATTTATTATTTTTTATTACTTTATTTAATAATGGTTCGAAAACATATTGAATTGTAAGGTATACAATTTTTACATCATTTTGAAGATTATACATAGTATAATATACACATAGTGAAATATAAAATTTGAGCAAAATTGGTTGAATAGTTCCTGAGAAATTGAATTTCGAAAAAGTCAAATGTTTAAAATTTGATTTCTCTAGAACTATTCATCCGATTTTGCTGAACGTTTGTATTTTGCCATGTGAAATTACATTCTTTAAGATGACGTTTAAAATTGAATGCATTACAATTCAAAATTTTTCGATTAATATTTTAAAAAAATATTAAAAAATGATAAATATTTATTAAAAGCTATTTTTTGCGCATTATAATTATAAACGCATTTTATAATTATGTGCAAAAAAGTTTCAATTCGCTTTGGAATTTCTCGATGCATGGCAAAGAACGCAAAAAGTAAATTTAATATTGAGGGGTCCAAACTTTGGGTCATATTTCCCATGTTGCGGCTACACCCTATATTTTGGGGGTATGAAATCCGAATCCATTGAAAAAAAGGCATGTTTATTTAGATAAAGTACGTTTTTCTGTCTGATTTCGTAACCGAAAATATCGTCTGCACTATTTAATTAGTATATTTAAGATCACCCCCTCGAACCACTAAAATTGAGTCCTAAAACGTGCAGATCTGATCATTAGATCAAAAATTATTCATGGCGGTCCGTTTTTTATTTTGAGCACTGTACAACACCGATACAGGAAAGCATTTTCAGCCTTTCATAAGTTCGACTCATCAGGATGCAACTTATAACCTTCTTTAAAAGTTTTGAAACTTAAAAAAAAAAAAACTGAAGCACCCAGAAAAGTCTACATTCAGCATGTAACGATGGTGCAAATAAAATATTTAAAATATTTTTTGTTAATTATCATAATTTCTCGCTTACAATGGCAAATGTCAGCATACAATGTGCGTTGGTCATTAATGTAACCTTTTGTCAAAATTCTAATAATGCTTTTAAAGAAGTTACTAATTGATTATCATGTTTCTTGCTTTCAGATTGCTGCAATCTGTTGTCCAATTTGCTGCAACCTGATCAGTTCAAACGAATACTAGTTAAATCGGCTATTGTGCATTCGTGGTTCTATAAAGATCAAGACTTGAAAAGAAGATTACCACAGCCCAGATCAGATTTGAGACATAAGTTCTCTGTAGATGTAGGTGGTATTATCTTTTTTTTTAAAAGTAAAACATGTAGGATGTGTTTGTGAAATGGAAATGGTGCTAAGGATGGCCTTCGAATCATAACAAATTTAACCCTTTGCACTTCAATATCCCTACGGAGGCTCCATCAACAGTCACCATTTTAAAATTAAGAAATTTTATACTTCATAATTAATAACCACATTATTTTAAAAATTGTATGATAATACTATATTGTGTATTTTAAATGATATAGTGCTTATATTAGATCAAACAGCATTTAAAAGTACTCGGAGTGCAAATTGTTAAAGTGAATTCGGTTATGGTAGATAAGTAGATTTATGAACGCATAACTAGCAAACGTTTTTAAATTTTTAGATGCGATCTCGATCAATTATTTGTAACTCTCTTTTAAATATTTTGCTTCATTTGTGAGATAATTACTTATCTAAAATAAATATTTTTGTTAGAGGTTCCTGTTTTACGAAGTATTGATTTTATAAGATTTCTTTAATAAATTTTATAAAATTATAATCTTTGCTTTCGATGTTATTGAAAATTTTTTTTTTAATGTTTGTATTAAGTTTTTTAATAAAAAAAAATGACAAAAGTAAGGACAAAACTTATATAAATAATTGAACTTAGAAAAATGACGCGGATCGCACTAATCCTTGTTAAGTTCATGATTTGCACTTAATTTTTTGTGACATAATTATTGGGACCATATTTTCCAGTTTGCTGTTGCACCTCTCCCCCACAATATAAGAATCAAAATTTCTAATCCGTCAAAAATTAAAGCATCTTTATTCTGAGAAAGCACGCTTTCGTGTCAGATTCTGAAATTAGCAATTTTCCTATTTAAAATGCACTCTCTCCCCTCCAAAAAGAAAAAAAAAATTAAATTCATTAAAATGGCAACTCCCGATTATCAAATGAAAGGTTATTTTCGCTGTTTTTTCCCTTTGAACACTGTATATTGATAATAGTATTATTAAACAATTATAATTTTCCGATAATAATTTGCTTCGCATTTACAGAATTGCCGGTAGGGCATACATCAATAATGCTAATACTGACCTTTTTCGATGAATCTTGAAAAATTTTTGATGAATCCCTTTAAAAAATTCAAAGTTCTCAGTTCATAATTTAAAAAAAAAATTTCCATCAAAGATAATGTATCAACAGTTAACACAATGTATACATGTATATATAAGTATTCTGTGAAAAAAAAAACTGAAGCTATATCTTGTTTAGATAGTGAGAAAAGGTACATCGAAAAAAGACAGTTTTAGAATTATTGGTATATGCTCTACTGACCTTTTAATCAAATTAAAAGAATTTGATTTACAGGGATTATACATATTTATTTTTTCTGATTGCGTTTCTTTTTTTTTTTTTTTAAATCTAGATCATAGAATTTATGGCAGACAAACTGAATGTGTCAAGCGAAAGAATTCAAACCCACCTTCACAATTATAATTTCGACACGATTTCCTCTATTTTCTGCATTTTACGAGACACTTTGATGAAGGAATTTTTGTATCCTCCGAAAATCGTAGAATGTACATTTTTATTTAAGTTCGAAGCTTGGAAGAGGGATTATGAGACTAGAAAAAGAGACGAAAGAGAAAAGAAGGCGAAACACCGCTTGAAATCGTTTTCCGTTAGATATCCTCAGGAATGCCATGTACAGAATTCAAATTTTGCGAGGCCTGTGTTCCGTTATGACCTGACCAAAGAGCATTCTATGACCACGAAAAGTAAATCTTTGGTCAATGGTTTTGAAAAGAGACTTTCTGGTGAGAACCCGAATCACAACCGACTTTGGGAACCGGATTATCCAAGAAGCAGAACTACTAAGAAACAGAGTAATTTAAAAGAAAGTGGTTATGAGACGAATAATACGGGTCTTTTAGAATCTTTTCACGAAGCTGCTAACGCCTACCCAAATAGAAAATACCGATTACTTAAATTAAATGAAAATAGCAAACTCGATAAAAATTCCTCTGCAGAACATGTAATCAACGAGGAAAGTGTGGAACTGAACATAATAAGTAGTACAAAAGAAAGCTCCGACAATTCTCTTGAATCGAACGAAAATAATGCGGTAGTTAAAAATACCACAACAAAGCATATTCATGGAAAAAGTGTTGAAAGCAAAAAAAATAGTGGTATCGAAGTAAGCAGCAAGAGCTCCAACAATCCTCTAAAATCGTTCAAAAATAACAGGCCTAGTAAAAATACCGCTGCAGAACGTTTAATTGACGGGAAAAGTGTTGAACGAAACAGAAACAGTGGTGAAGAATTAGCAAAATGCTTTCACAATCCTCTTAAATCGTATAAAAATAACAGACCTGCAAAATATTCCACTATAAATAATATTAAAAGTTTTAATTGTGACAAAGATAGTGGTATAGATGAAAATGAAAAATGTTCCAATAATCTTCCTAAACCGTTTAAAAATGACAAATTCAAAACAGAACAATCAATTCATGACAAAGCTCGTGCACGATACTCGCATGGCAGTATAGGTGGAAATGGCAAGAGCTTAAGTCCTACAACAGCCCTTGAAGACTATGAATATTCTGATTATAAATTGAAACATTCAAACAGGAAAACTATAGAACCACGTACGACGAATCAACTTTCGGAAGAAATAAATAAAATTGAGAATGCTAACGTAACTACAGGTTTGAGGAGAGTTTCATCTGCAATTGAAGAATTCAGATATCCGAGGCAAGAGGTGTTCTTTGCAAAGAGAGCTAACAGAGGCAAATGTTCAGCAAAAAAATCTGATTACACCACAAGGTACGTGAAGCAGTATAATGATAAATCACACGTTATCACTGATAAGTCTCCAATATCAGTGCAGAGTCAAACCTATATCCAGAGAAACATAATCGTCAGTAGAGCAGACAGAGGTTCGGGAAAATCTTTTTTAAACAGTAATATTCCAGTTCGGTCATCAAGATCCTGCATGACAACGAAAATAACAGAAGAAAAAATTCGAAATCTAGAAGTAACCCCTAGAAGACAAAGATTGTACTCCACGACTTATTTTTCATCGAAAAAGAAAAACCAATGAAGATGTAAGTTTTACGATTATGATTAGTTATCGGAGCACTTTAATTTTAATTTTGTAAAAATTGGATATCAATCTATATCGCATATCATTTTGTCAGCAGAGTTAATCCATCACAAAGAGGCATTTCATGTTAAAGATCATCTCGCTAATTTTGAGACTAACAAATAATCCAATTTTATAATGTCAAAAAACTAATTACCGATGACTTAATTTATAATTTCCAATTCTGATAAAAATTTTGAATGCATATATCTACACCTATTAAGAAAAACTCTCAGGCTGCAAAGCTTAAAATTGCAGCAACACAGGGTTAGAAGAACCTGGACAAGCACCTCGGGAAGGGCGGAAAATTTAAGTTAATGATTTACTTGAAACTAGTACCTATTATTTTTTGAAAAAAGAAATTGCTTTTTAATTTTTTTTTTCTAAATTTCTTTCGAATGGGTACAATAAATTCATCTATCCTACTTTTGTTTGAAATTTTTCCCCCGTCCTTTCTGTGAAATGTTAGTTTGCTTTTGAGTTTAAATTATATGATTTTTGCATTTATCCGGAACCGGAAGTATGTAATTTATCGAAAATGGCTAAAACTAGATAATTATATTAAGTTTATGTGCATTTTTCACCTTTGATGTACTATTTTAAAAGCCACTTTAAGTTTATATATATATATGGGACACTGATGTCCTATCTGCATCAAAGGGTTATCAAATAAGGAAACAATAAATTCTGATATTATTCTATACATGATTTCAAAAATACACATGTAATACATACGACTAATTTCAGGAAAAAATATTCCTTCTGTACATAAGATAACGTATCTTAAACTCTTAATAACTATTTTTTTTCAAAAAGTAACTTTCGAGAAATATTTGTAAATATATAATTATTAATAATTTATATGCGTCTCTTATATTAATTTCAGGTTACTTGGATTCATTTAGCGGATAATGCTGTATTTTTCTCAGGCAACTAAATTCTTAAATACCAAAAAAGCATTTTGTTTCTTCCAACGAAGGCGCATGTAAATTATAAATATAGATACATTTGACAACGTAAGTGCATTTTTTTAAATAAAATTCTCAATAGATGTTAGAAATAAATGTTAGAAAATAGAAGTAAACTTTAAGGCAATAATTAAATGCTATAATCGAGAAGAAAACTGATTACAAAAATATCCTTTTTTGGAGTAAAATACATACCGTTTAACCTGATGTACAAAAAATACTATATAACGAAAATGCGAAAGATTTAGTTTTACTGAACAAGTCTTCTATTATTGGAAGCATTTTTGTTTGTATACATGCAATTTTCGCCGTAAGATATTTAAAAATTATTTTATAGCAGTTAGTTTCTACTAAATTTCGAAGGTTTGGAATTATACTTCGATTTCACTTTGAACAAAAATAGTACTAAGTTTGTTTGGTAAATAAATGTCTTGAATTAGAAATATTAAAAAAAGAAGACTTTTGCGCTTTTAAAGGATATTTTTGTAATAAGCTTGTAGCTATTTATTTTTATAACTCAATAGTAAATTACAAAATTTTCATTAAATAAAATTGTAACTTATTTACCCGTGGTTGTAATAACATAAAATACTTTTTCACGTAAGTTTATATTCAAATGCTTAAAAAAAGAAATGAAATAAGTTCGATTCTTACCTAAATGGCTGCTACAGAAGAAGCTAAGATAATAGCTAAAAATAAATTGACAAGATGAAATTATACAAATTTGACTTAAATTGTAACCAATTTAAATATTATGAGTTGCACTGCATATTTTATTGCTACAGTTGTTTCATAAAAAGTATTTCAATATGTCATTTTCAGTTGAAAAAATACTTGAAAATGATAAAAAGAACACGAATTTTGTGCAAACGATCTACTTCTGTCCCACTATCGAAATCGTTTTCTAATTTTAATTTTGAGTAAAATATAAAATATTTTTTAATTTTGGGAAAGGAGCTGTTTTAAATTTATAATCATTATTTCATAGCCTGCAAAAAAAATTAAAATATTTATTACAGAATTGTTAAATGCATAATTTATAGTTTTATTCCAACGATTTAGCTTAAAAATTTTTCACTGTGAATTTAACTGATTTTAAAACCTTTAGAAATAAAACAAATGTAACTTTTTATTTTTAAATTTGATACTTTCTCACAAAAGAAATGGAAGAAAAAAGATAGATGCAATTTACTTATACGTTTAACTTTCTCTATTTCAGATCTGAAGGAACTGTTTAAGAACATTCAAAAAGAAATTTGCTTTAAGCTGTATTCAATTATAACAGATTTAAAAAGTTGCGAACACAAAATTTTATAATTAATGGAAGAAAAAGAGCTGATTTAGTGGAAGATGAGAAAATTTTGTTTTATTATTTAAGACTGATGATATATTGGACTAAACTGATTACATGAAATCGAAATCATTTAATTTATAAATCATGATGCTTTTATTTTCAAAACTAGTACATTCCAATATTGGAAATGTTAAGTCAATGTTTGCTATTTTTAAAATTAAATTCGTTTATAATGAAAATAAATTATATCCTTTGTTTCAATCAAATTCTGAATTGTTTTATTTATTATCAAACTGGCGCAAGCATTGATGTTCCAAGGAAATTTTGCATTAGAACATAATAAAAATCGAATAGAACATGTACTTGTGAATGAAAGGACAAAAAAAGTACTAAGGTTTGCTTTTTTGGATCACTAAATAACAAAATGGAGATGAATGAAATTATCTTTAAGTAAACGGATTTAATAATTGTGTGCAAATTTTTTCCTATTCGCTTGAAAAGTACTCGATGTATAGCGAAATAAGCAACAAATAAAATTAACATTAAAGTGTCCAAACTTTTAACCGCTTTCCTAACCAAACTATTGAGGCAATATTTTGAGAGTCAGGAATTCAAATCCGTCGAAAATAAAAAAGAATTATTCAGTAAAAGTACGTTTTTTGTCTGTTTTCGCTACTTAAAACAAGTCTGAATTAAATAATTAGCCTATTTGAGGTCATCCTAATGAACCAGCGAGCAATAGCACATGAAAATCCGATCATTAGATCAAAAATCATTCATGTTTTATTTCTCTTTTTTTTTTTTTTGCAGACTATACAAATTTTACAAACATACTATGCACTATACAAATTTTGAGCAGAATAGAAATTTTTTAGCACTATTTCAAATTTTAATATCACAAATTTATTATGTAGTATGTAAATTACCGTATCTTAGAATAATCAGATAGCAAGAAAATAATTTAATAGGTGGAAAACTTCTCGTTTTGAACGTTCTTAAAAAGTACAAAAACTGCTCGAAATTTTTTACGTTTTTAAGATATTTAAATCAGATTTTTTCCATTAGTTGCCAAGTACGATTCACTACGAAATTAAGAAGAAATAATTTAAAATTTTTTCCGAGTAAACACTTTTAAAGTTACAAAATATTTAAGTATTTCCCGAAAAATTCAAAAAAAATATGAAGAACTGAAAGTACCTCTTCCATTATTGTAAGGTAGTGTATGAACAGATTAGCAACTGAACCTATCTTATATAGATCGAGGATTACCAACTTATAAGTGTACAAGGGTCACATTTTTTAAAACTTTCACTTAGTCACAGGCTGCAGTGTAACTAGGATTATATTTAGAAATTTTAAGGGAAAGGTGGGGGTTAATTCAGGGGACCTAGGTTCCAATCCCAGTAATAACTGGTTAATATGAATTCTGCTCCCGGCTCGCACTGTCCACAGTGCTGACGTAAAATAATCCTGAGTGGTAGACGGATCATGGGTTAGTCCCATAGCCCTCAGGCTAAGCTTTAAGGGCTTTTAAAAAACGCAAATCAAAAATAAGCACTTTTTAAAAACGTTATGCACCCTGTAGTAATCATAAGCCAAAAAATTGGGTCGACTGTTTAACGATGGCTGTAAAATAAAATAAAATGCTTGATCCAGATATTCCATTGTCTTCTGGGTTGAGTTCAAAATGACAAGGCTGCAGAGATTAACACTAATAGACGTTAACTCAGAATTGGATAGGCAAGTTTTCAACGTCGGTTATGAAATAAAATGGAACAAGTATTGAATTACAAATCAAATGAGAAGTGTGTATTTTAAAACTTCTATTTCCCTTTTAAAAAACCGTTCAGACTAAAATTTTCTTTTGATAGCATCTATTCAGAATGTCACCTTGCAACTTCGAAGGTGACACTAAGCTAAGATATAATGAAATCGTTTGCAGAGCAGTTGGCAACGTTTTGAGGGAGCATATTCAAATTGATGTAATTAAGTTAGAGGTGTGACATTTTCAAAACTCCAAATAGGATAATTAAAAAAAAAAACATTCCCAGACAAATAGTTTTTATAGTAAATTTATTTACGAAATTCCAAGTTAAAATCTGACAACCAGTGCACATTAATGCTTCACAGGAAGCATTCACAAATTAAATAATGTAACATCTGAATACCAAGATAATTATTAAGTAATATATATATACACAGCATAATAATGATATAAAAATTAGCAAAATTATACAAATAGTTGATTACAACAGGGGAACCAACGAAAACCCTTTAAAATAGAGTGAAAATGTACTCCATTTATCAGCTAAATAAATTGCATATGTATATATGTTTTCATAACTTGTTTACAAGCATTCATTTTAAATACATATATTAAGGATATTTCATACACTGAGATTCAGTTGAAACATGTAAATCATCATTTCATACATTTACTTATGCAACTTAATATAAAGCTTAGCTGATTATGTATATTAAGTTTGTAAGGAGTCATTTCATGAAAGACATACAAAAGTTTACCATTAGGCATTGATTAAATATATTTCGTTAATATTTCTTGGTAAACTGGGAACATTACCAGTAGATATAGATCAAAGGTTGAGTACTCAATCACTAAGAAACTACTAGTCAAACACTAGCAGATTGTTAATTTTCAAACCTAGATTTATTATATTTTTTGCCTATATCTATATCTGTTACGGTCAATATGATTAATCAGTTATTATAACCACAGATTAATGGTAATAACTAAATATGCCAGTTAAAGTAATTCATTTATGAAAATTTGCTTCATTTACCAAATGTTATTAATAATTGCCAATGAAATAAATGCAATAACTAGCTGCTGCACAATAAATACACTAGCTCAGTATTCTCTACACTGATGTTTTTTGAAAACAGAATTTCCGTGTAAATACACAGAGGGCAGCGCATTATTGATACATTACTTGGATCAGTGGTTAAGCACCAATGTGATTATTCGTTTATTGTGAGCAATAACAAGGATTATTAATAATAACCAAATAAGCGAATTGAAGTGAATAGTTTAAGAGAATTAATTGCACTAACCAGAAATCATCAATAACTAGCAACTTTTTTTTATGTATTAAGACTGACTGGTTAATGTACTTTATCATATTTACCTTAAGATGTGGCCATTATTAATAATAATTTGAATTATCATTTTGACTGTAACACACATATGCATATAAACAAATTTAATGTTTCCCTAATTATAAGCTCTTGCAATTATAATTTATCAAAAAATGAGGAGAAATCATAACTAGAAGTACAAAAAAAAATTATATTTGCGATTGAAGTTAGGAAAAAAATTTTACATAAAACTTTTGTTTCAGACATCCAAATATTGTAAGCAAAATAATAAGAAATATACAAAATAACATAGATAACTTTTAATTATATAAATAACAGCACTGTTTTGGTTAAAAAACGAAAATGCAGATCAATACGGAAGATGGTATAAAAAATGTGGCAATCATTACTTAACAAGAATTTTTAAAAAACTATAAATTGTAAAGTTAGAACTTTATTAATTAAGAAATCATATGACTAAACGAAATAAATTTGTAAATAAATAACAGAATAAAACAAGTAAGATTTTTTTTATTAATATACAGTACAAGTCCTCTATTACATATATATCTATATATAATATACAATTAAATATTGATATCACAATATACTGAAATTTTGTAATATCGAAAATTGTAAAGCTTTATACATTTTAGTCAAAATAATAACCATACTGAGATTTTGTTGTATTTACTTCAAATAACCAGATAATTTCTGTGTAATCATTTAAATTTACGTTTTGCTGAAATTCTTTTGCTTCTAATACCTCCCTAATGCTATAACGTCTTTGAATATTTTTTATTCTTGCCAAATATTACATGCTGTCCACATTATCGTTAACTGTTACCATACTATTACATTATCATTACTGTACACATTAAGTTTCAGTTTCCTTTAAATTATCAATTTTATGGGCAAATCTTCTTATTTATGCACACACATTTTACACGTCCGCTTCTCTAGGAACGGATTATCAAGGAAACGTTTTTAAAACTTCTCTATTTCTTTCTTATTACACTTTCAAGAAAAAGTATATAAAATTATGCAAGAACAGTCTTTAGAACTCAGAGTTCAGACGGAAAAAAATAAAATTACAATCTTTCAGAAATTAGAAAAAGAAATTTTTTTAAAAATGCATTGGTAACTATTTTTTTCACAATAACAAAAAATTTGCATTATTGAAGTTTGGTTGTATACATATTTATATGCATAAGATGGTGCCTAAGTAAAAATCTTAAACTACCATCTTCCCCAAAATATTTAAACAAAAAAACAAAATGCTAATTTCATTTTATCACAATTACTTTTTTAGAAATGCTGTAAGAACACAGACTACTAACTAGCACAATGAACTTTAAAAGTAATTGTTTCGAATAAATAAATAATAATTTGATTAAACAATTAGTGGGAATAATTAATCCTGAAAAATCAGTACATTAATAATACAGGAATGAGACTATTTTTGTGAATTTGAAAAAAATAATTAGTAAAAATAACCTCTATTATATACATCAATTTACAATTAGACAATTTACATTCCCTAGTATGAAAACTTTGCTAAAAATAAAAGACATATAAAGTTGCTAACATATCAATTTGAAATAAGTTCTAACCGAATTTATTTTTACTGTTTTATGTTTCAAATAAAATAGTATATTAAATGTTCAATATAAGAACACTCGATAAATTTAGAATGTTTGAGGTCTAAAAATTTTTTTGCCCATAAAAGAATTCTTTGAAGTTTATATCAACTTGTTAGAAAAAAGGGGAAAAAAAGAGAATAATTTAGTATCAGAATTTTGAAACAAGAAATAGATGAAGAAATTTGTTTTAATTATAAAGTCTTGGACACTACATGCTAAACACACATAAGTTGTAAGTTTCCTTTAATGCAATTTAAAGCAGCTGTGAATGAAATTTAATTTTCGGCTTTTGTAATTTGTTAGCATTATATTCGATACAATAATCACAGTCTATGAAAGATTTTAAACAAGTTAATATATCTCTACCTATACACATTTTGTAGCACTTTTTACAATTCCCAATACTCTACAAGTGGTCCCAATAAAGAATTTGTGCACGAAAAAGTGTATAACAATGAGAAGAAACATAAATAAGAACTTAAAGATTGATTATCATATAGAACTCATAACTTCTATATAGCATTCTAGTTACTTTAATTTTATAATTTAGTACGTATAAATAACTAATTTATTAGATACTTGTTACATAAATTATTTTAAAAAAAATTAACTATGATTTTCTTTACAGAACTATAAAAAATAAATTTAGTAATTGAAGGTGATTTCTACTGTAAGGAGACATTTTTATTGAAATCAAAAACAAAATTTTTTTTAAAACCAATATCAATCAGTTTTTAGTTTACTAAATGAATAAAAAAAATTACTAAATATTGGATGATATTTCTGCAAGAAATATTACTTGTTAAAAAACAATTACAAAATTTTGATTTTTTAAGAGTTAATGTTAAAATTTTGGTTAAGAAATATTTCAATTTCATAAAATATTGATTTAGATTAGCTTTTCCTAAAACTATATAAATCAGCAATTTTTCAAGCGTAAAGAACAAACAAAAACTATTTAAAAAAATATCAACACAGTTAAGATTTGATTACATAATCTAATTCACCATAATATGAGCTCAATCATTATTTAAAAAAACTATTATTTCATTAAACAATATATGCATGATTATTAAATGCATATTTTATTAATTCAAAAACAAAACTTAAAATACTGTAAAATCAAAACTCATTATGTTGCACAAATATTTTCTTATACATCACAAAGAACATGATTAAATGACAGCATAGCTTTTATAGTCATTTTTAAATTTTTTATTATTATTTCAAATAGTGACATAGATTAGGATAAATTCAACTCAAACAATCACGGTTTTGCAATGTTAGATACTGAAAGTCAATCAAAATAAATTGACAAAATAAATATAAGTTGTTAATTTCATTGATTGATAAAATTTTCAAATGAAATGCTGTGAGGAACACAAAGCAAATATTTTTCATGGTTGCTTGTACCAAACTTATAAAAACAAAATGTAAAGCAGTTAAATTTAAAAGTCATAATCAAGTCTTCTTATGTCAATAATATGCATCTAAAATAAATCAGGCATAAATAGGAAATAAAGCATACTGATTTTGCTTTATGCCCATATGAATAGAATAAAATAAATGTAGTGGTCATTCTTCAGATTATGACACAACATCGACAATAACGTGGTCTGCCACCTCCGGCTGACGGTGGGGGTGTTACCGGAGCAAAGTAAGCATGGACTTTAATTGATGGAAGATGACCCTAAATTGTACAAATTGTTTAATAAGTAAATAATAATTAATAAGTTAAAAAATCAAAATCATTTATGAAGAATTGCTTTAACTTTAGAAGAATATGGAGTAAAAATTAAAGACAAATACGGGTATAGTAGGTTAAAGTAAGTAGAGCTGTCAACTTTTTACACTATGTGGGTAAATTTCTATTAATGATAGGAAAGTTTATGTTTTAATGCATGATTTAATGTAAAGAATTACAGGTGCAAAGTAAGCATGGACTTTAACTGATGGAAGATGACATTAAGTTGTACAAATTGTTTAATAGGTAAATAATTAATAAAACAAATTGTTTATTTGGAATTGCTTTTTTTCAACTTCAGAAGAATTTTCCTCACCACTGCCAGTGAATTATTTAAAAGTTAACATGAAACCTCACTTTGTACCACTTCTTTTGTGTTGAGGCTCTTAAAATTTTGGCAAAATTAATTAAAACACTGAAACCGTTACCTTTGGAGTGTTTTTAGCCATGCAGAGTTATATCTAACTAGCACTTATTATACTTCTTTCAGAATGTACTCTAAAAATATGTGAATATCTTTTGAAACTTTTTTAGATTCCCAAATATTTCATTTGATTTATAAACAGTGAAACCTCAAGTTACGGATACTTTTACAAAACGAACGCCTCTCATTATGGACATGTTTTAAATTCTCCGTGAATCCTTTATGAATAAACTACAGTGGAACCTCGGCTTTATGTTGTTTGATTTGCACATTATCTCGCTTTCTGCATCATTTTCTGTTAGTATGTGAAAACTGTACACCAATGATTAATTATTCAAGATTTTATGTAATTCTTTATAAAAAAAATTGTGCTTTGTACGTTTTCCTAACAAATCAAAATAATTTTTTCCATACAAAACTAGCGGAAACTTTTTTAGAGTTTTCTTCTTCTCACTTTTTAAAAAAAGAGAAACCTGTTTACTAGCTATTCCTAATTTTCCTGACACTCATACTATTTTATATTATTTTCTTGTCTGTGAGAGGGTCCCCTTGAGTCAAAATTAGAAGGGTGGTGGGATGGGCAAAGGACAAGAACCGTTTTTCGTCCGAGTAAGTCCTGTTAACAAGTTATTAGTAAACATACATTCAGGTAGGCTTTTGCTTATTCAAACAGTTCTGCAAGAAAACTTCAATAATTACTAATATTTGGTAGGCATCAAAAATGAGTAAAAAATTATTACTATTTAAATTATTACTTTGAGGACCCAAGTTGAATTCAAATTATTAGTCAGTAAATTAGCCAAATATCAAAAGTATTAGCCAAATTTTAAAATTCTTAGCCAAAGGCAAATTTTAACAATTTTTCATAATTGATTTTTTAACATAATGAAAATACAAATTTACTGTAAATGCAAATTCAAATAAACACTCATTTTGCAGGTGGGGAGGAGTAAAGGAACAACAAATGGAAGAGATGAAAAGTGTAGATGTTGTTTTATCATCTTTGAGAGAAAGAAATGGGAATAGGTTGGGTGTAATTTTAGTTAAATTAGTAATTTTAGTTGGGGGTAATTATAGTTTAGTTTAAATTTAATCTTCTTAGACTAGAGCAGTAATATAAGGATAAATCTTAGACAATATTTTGTTATCGTCATGTTATTGTCTATGACATTGTCAGGAGGAAGCATATTTCTGCAAAAATATTTGTATGATAATATACATCTTGCTACCACCTAATTTATTTTATTGACACATACTGTAGAAAAACAATTGCCACGTGATATCGCGTGATTCGGCAACGTACATGATAATTTGTATTTTATGGTAGTTTGTCTCATGCTTACATAATCTCTCTTGTTACTTACATTATCTGGACTTAATATAATTCTAATTAGTTACACAATATATCAAATGGAAATTACTGTAATCAAATTAAAAATACAGGATTTGTTTGTTTGAATATAGGATTGAAAAATTCTTTTTGAAATTTTTATTATTTTTTTTTCAGAATTGAAGGGAATATAGATATTTTTTTTTTCAATAGAAAAAAACCATTCACCAAAACACAATTTTTTTCCACCGAATTTACAAATTTATCACATTTGGCAAGGTGCTAAAGCTTAGCGCCGATCCTGACTTATTTTTTAATTGATGATAAATTTTATATAGCAAATAAAAGGAATCTTAATTAGTTAAATTAAATTACATATAAATGCTTACATATGATGTAACTTGGGCATAAATTGTTCTGAAAGAAAGGGGCATAAAAAGTTCTGCTCTAAATATAAGTGGTCTGCAGGGAAAAGACATAAGTAGTTCTGCTCTGAACGTAAATTGTTGTGACGTATGCCACAATTTTGAAAAGTTTCTGCTTTAGGGTTATACAAATTGATAAAGCAATATTTTAGGGTGTATAAGTTTATAGAGCAATAAATTATTAAGCAGTATATTCAACATCTTTTGAGTGGCATACTGCCTAACACAGTATGAGTCGTGAATAATATGACATCTTACAAAATTATTTCCAAGATTTTTAGCAATCTTGTAAGAAAAATAAAAGAAAAAAAAATTCTATTAACTTACTCTCAATTTTCTAATTCCAGGTCTAGTAATAAGTTGACAGTCATAAAGTTCTATTCTCTCAAGATTTTGACATGTTATTAGATGATCCAAAGACTGGTCAGAAATAAGTGGACAATTATCCAATTCTAAGACAGATAATTGCTCAGATGAACAAGCACTAGTACCGAGATGCCTGATACCCTCATCGGTTATCAACTCACAATGGGATAGAGACTGAAAATAAAATGTTCCAGAATATAAGTCAAAATTAAAAACAAGAGGGAGATCTCAAAAAGAAAAAATTACTGGGATAAAACACTAATTAAAGAAAAATGAAGGGGGATAAAAGTGAGTGATTTGATGTATTTTGTATAGAAAGTTTTAAAGTTAGTGACAAAGTTTGTATACAGATGACATTGCTTACTAGGAATAACTTTAATAAAACATTATTTTCAAAATAACTACTATTTACAGCAATAATATGATGCAATCTGAAGACAAAATTAGTATATATATATATATATACAGTACAGAACCCATTATCCGGAAATCAGAAAACCGGAAAACCAAATAACCGGAACAAAATTCGATAAATTTTCCCACCACTATAAAAATTTTTTTTTTCCTTATAAAATTTTAGGATTTTTCATTCTTTTTTGAAAGATGTTTACCTTACCATCATTTTGGAAATAATCATTAGTGTATTGCTCCATCGTTTTTTCTTCTTTTTAAGATTATTTCCAAAAAAAAATTTTTTTTAGTTGTGTTTAACAATAAAAAAACGGCTTTTTGTAGCGATTCAGAAAACCGGAAAAATCAGTTATCCGGAATAGCGATGGTCCCGATCGTTCCGGATAATCGGTTCCCTACTGTATATATATATATATATATGTGTGTGTGTGTGTGTGTGAGCTAAATCTACTTATATGGAGTGATCTCACAGGTAGCAAAAAACAATGCTTTAAGCTTTTTTCAGTCAGCAAAAACATTTGTTGGCTAACTTTGTAACAAATCTTCAAACTTGGTGAGAATAAAATAATTAGTTTCCTAGGCAAACAATATTTTTTCGTATCTCAGTCTGCTTCTTTTAAATTTTTTTTTTAAATTTTTTTTTTTTTTTTTTTTTGGAATGATGGTAAGTAGAACTTGCATTTTGTTTAAGGAATGCAATTCCATATTGATTTTGTCTCTGCAAGATTGAAGTTTACTAATACTATGGAATCGACCAAGTTTCAGTTAAGCAATCTATTCAAACTTAGAATGAAATTAGAAATTAATAATTTACAATAGAGAGAAGTATGAAAAAACTAAGTTCTAAGTAACTTGTAAGCGATATGAAATTTAATCTTTTGCAAAAACATTATTAAGAATAATATGAAAATTATGATTTGAAAAAACATATTATTTCTTCAGTTATTTCTTGTAATTATTTATTTTTAATTCCAAAAAATTTGAATGGAAAAAATGTAACAAAAACAATGAGTTTTGTCTTAACCGGATTGAATTTTAGTGACAAATAAAGAAGTGGATGAAAAGTCTCTACCAGACTCCATTGTTGTCAATGATCATCAGACTATGATTATGCAGATACTGCAAAACACTGCTTGTACCTGTTCTTCTTTGTTGAATGTGAAGTTGAAGTTTAATTTTTCAGCATTCACTTAAGTCTGTCATTTGACTATTTATCTTGCTTATCAAGAATTTTGTAATAGAACAACTTTTAACAATTGTTTTCACATTGGTGAAGACTTTTGAGAATAATTCTGCTTGTAACGGATTTACAATTACACACATTAAATTGAATTCTTTGACAAAAACAGTTACTGTTTACATCATAATCATTAGAGCTTTATGTAAACAGTTTGATTTAATTAATTATTAGCATATAAAAAAGATTGCTCAAATTTGTCTTTCAATCTGAGATGATCAATAGTTCTTTTATTACCCTTTTTTTCAATATTTCAGAAGAGCTTCTTTTCTAAATATTTTGCATAGGTACTTTTTCATTATCATATTTTCATCATCCTCTGCCTCCAGAGGGGAAAGACAGGTGATCCAGACATCAGTGAAAGAACTTCAGCAATTCAAAAGTGAAGGATTCTTAACTTTTTTTCCAGATCGTGCAGGATTGAGGTCCTAATTCCGAGGGACTAGACCTATAGACTGCGTGCAGTGCAAGATTGACATTTCTTATTTTTATTATTAACAGTGTTATTTGGACAATATAACTCTTGTCATCAATTAAGAATAAATTACATTCACCTGACAGATAAATGTGAAAGTTATAAAATCCTAAATTCTAAACATATCAAGAAAGAAATTAATGTACAAACAATTTTATTGCAGATTTATTAAAAGACAATACTAATTATTCTGAAACTTATTTCATTTATCACTTATGAATTTGAAATAAAAATTATACCAGCAAATTTACAACTGGTGTGGAATAATTATATTAAAATTAAAGCAAAAATAATACATTTACATTAAGCATGCCCATATGTGGCCAATTCATGTTTTGTTCCCCCTTGATTGACAAATACACATATATATTTATTTTGCCTGCTTCATCCTCTATGGTCTTCAATCTTTATACATATTTATCATATGTAACTAAATAATAATATGGTTATTAAACACACTGTTCACACTAAATAAACTTAAAGATACAAAAAAAAAAAATTGTTTTTAAGAAAACAATTTAGATACTTTGATTATTTTGATAATTTATAACCCAATACAAAGGAGAAAAACATACTGAACTCAAACAAGGTTAAAATACTGTAGAAGCCATGTAATAAGCACAAATGGATAAGTTTGAAAAACAATAATTGTTCTACAATGTTTTCAGTTTATTGATAAAGATTTTCCTTCATTAACTACTCGTTGCAACTCAGTTGCTTTTGTATTTTTTTTCTTCATTTTGTGTTTTGTCACAAATGATGCACTTGTTGATGGCTCAAAAACAATAGATTGTTTATTGAAATTATTCTAGTTTATCATATTGCTTTTCATATTATTTAATTAGAAGCTAAAAAAAGACACTATTTCTGTGGGATAATGTAGAAATGTCTCTATGACAAAGTTGTTCCTGCATTGACTACTAGTAGCAATTTAGTTGATATTTTTTATTTTTTCTTCATACTGCGTCTTGGCACAAACGGTCATACCAAAATAAAAGACTGCTCTTTGAAATTGCTTGCTTTAACTAATTTAGTTGTTTCTTATCTTCCTAACATCACAAAGATAACTATATTTTTTGTAGATAATAAAAATACTTACTAATTTTTGTAACCGTGGGCAGCCAGCTGCAAGATAGCAAAGTGTATTGTCCGTAATCTAAAAGAAAAAAAACTTATTAATGATGAATTTTTTGCAGAGTTAATTAAGATTTAATAGAAAGGTTAAGAAATTTTCCTAAAACAAATAAAAAATGACTTGAATTAAAATTTGGTTTCTTAAAGAAGTTAGAAAGGTTAAGAAATTTTCCCAAAACAAATAAAAAATGATTTTGAATTAAAATTTGGTTTCTTAAGTAAAAAAATGAGTTGAGATTTCCAAAACATCTGAAGTTTTAATTCTTTTTCTCCAGAACTTAAGGTTAAACGAAAAAAAAAGAGAAAAAAATGTATAGCAATATCCAATCAATGAAAAGTCTCAATTTTTTTTCTATTTATGTTTGAATTGGATATTTCAATCTCGTCTGTAGGTCTTTTTTCACGTGTTTTTCTAATGATGATTTAATGTAATCCTTTTCTAAATTAAAGAAGAAAATGTTCTGAATAATGACACAATTTTGGTGATTTTTATACTAGCAAGTATATTTACACCAGAAAAGTTAACACAAAATAATTGATGTTTGCCTAGGTATTTCACTGCATATTAATGAATAGTAAATTACTTTTAGTAGAATTATTAGAGTACTGGTTGCAGTTTTTACTAAAATAATAATTCGTATAGAGAATTTTTCTCTTTTTAAAGGCAGTTGGAATTGGTTTATTATAGTTAACATATATTCAAAATTCAAATATTTAATCGAATTACAAACCCATTTATCAAAGGAATTGATGAAATACTAAATACAAACAATAATTTCCAATAGTGGTAACAATTAGTTGGTTGCTAAAAACGTTATTTTAAGTTTAGAGAGTATATTTAAGTTCAACTTGACGTGTACCCTTAAGAAAAGTATGCAACAAGGATACATAATAGATTCAAAAGATCAAAGATCTTAAATATGGTGACTGAACCCCTCAAACATACTGAAAGCTGCATATAAACAGCTCTTTTTTTATTTAAAATATATTCTTCTTTAAAGCATGACAGGAAATTTGAAGTTGAAATATACATACCAAAACACACTCTTCTAAATCCATTTTTTCTAAAAAGTGGCAATTCTAGAAGAGGCATAAAAATAAATCATTTTCAAATTTAGAAATAATAAATAAGAAAATTTTACATAAAAAAAATATCTAAGTAACTGAATGAAAACATATACTTTTCTTACTTTAGCAAGAGCTTGGAATCCGCCGTCAGTGAATTGAGAGCAACCAGCTACCTCTAATGTTCTGTAAGGAAGTTAGAAAGATTCCAAATCAGACTCCAATATGATATTTTATACCAAATAAGAATAACATTGGATTCACATGAGGTTAAAAAAAAGAGAAGACAATAATTAAAAAATCAGTACAGAACAAAATCAAGCACAAAACTGAAAAGTTAATTAATGAAGCTGAAATAATTCTTTTTTGTTAGTTTTTATTATTTTTTGCCCTTAAGGTGACATAACAATATTAGAATAAGCAAAACAAGTCTTTAGAAGTTCATCCTATCAAAATAAAGATTAACAGCAACATTCTACAATATGTGGCATAATGCTCAAGATCAAATCATGATTTTAAAAAATTATCACAATCAAGCACTTTACTCCTGTACTTATACTTTTAGAGACCTATGAAAACATTTAGAAACCTATTTTAATAGGATCTATACTAAAACTATATATTATTGATGAAGTTTTAATAGGTACTAAATGCATTAATATAACACTTTGTTCTTGTATTACTGTTTTAGGTATGTATTAAAATGGTAACAATTACCCTAATACTGGTAGTGCAGATTACCAAAATTAACAATGCATAATTAGCCCAATAATAGCATGACGATTTTAAATGTTTCTCTCATACAAATTAGTATCATTTATCCGCAATTTTGCTTATTAGTACATTTTTTTAAATTCAAATTCCATTGATTTTAAGTTATTTAGTTATATAGAAACACATTTTAAAAGCATAACTATTAACAAAATAAACACATGGTTTCAGATAACTTAAGAAATGCTCTAATGAAGGCAAGATAACTTAAGAAATACTCTAATGAAGGTAGCCTGCTTATGCTACCGTGTTCAAATTGATCACTTAGTGTACTTGACATAACAAATAAAAAATAATTGAATATCAAAAAACTTGCAGTTATCTCATTTTCAGAATAAAATAGAGCTGTAAGATAGCTAACTCCACTAATATTATCTTTAAAAAACTTAAAAAAATAAAATCATCTGAAATTTAATTAAAAATAGTAGCTAACTCTTAACCAATGAGAAAATTCAATTTTCCAAACAGATCTATCAAACAAACTAATCGAAAAGTTCAAATGGATTTTAGGATAGAGGGCTAAATTTATCTCTAGCAGCCACTGTTCCAATTTCAGGACCAATGCAAACAGATCTGGAGTTAAGAGAGAGAGAGACACACACTGAACTCTTTGCTTTATTACACTAGAAAACTCTATACTCGAAGAATGTTAACATAAAAAATTTAAAAAACAACTGCTAAATTTGTCCTTAGTTGTCCCAAGCTACTGTCAAGATTTCAAGACTATAGTTCTGGAGGTATAAGAGAGAAACACAAACTTACCTCTTTGTGTAATTGTTATACATAAATCTATACTTAAAAGTTAGCATAAAAAATTGAAAAACATAATTGCTAACAATATAGTAAAACAGGACAATCAATAGATGTTATTTAAGAAATGTGTGATTATGATATTAACATTAGAATAGTTATAAGAAAATACTGACTTGAGATAGTGACAGCCTTGTCCCAAGGCTATCAGAGAGGTATCAGTGAGATGAGCACAATTAGAAAGACACAAATAGTAAACTTTAGGACACCTTTGGCTGATATATTGCACAGATTCATCAGTAATACTCTGAAAGAAAATAAATAGTCAATATTTATGACTAACCACAAACATTTTTTAACAGAGGAAAAGCTTTATTGAACAGTGGTTAATTCCTAGTTATCCTCCAGGGCATCACACATTTCGTGGAATATCCACAGTATAACCTTGCAGCGAAACGTACAATTAGATTGGGTTGCAAGTAACCACAAACATTTTTTAACAAAGGAAAAACTTTATTGAACAGTTGTCAATTCCCAGTTATCCTCCAGGGCATCACACATTTTGTAGAATATCAGCAGTATAGTCTTGCAGCGAAATGTATTGCACATTGAGAAATAACCAAAGAAAATTTTTGTGTCGATCTATGTCTTCAGTTGGCCATTTAGTGTTTTTACCCCCAAGCTGAACCTTAAAAGTAGATCGAGAAGTACATACATCAAATTAACCATTCTTGAGGACGTATCATCAAGATTAACTGATATTGTATATCAGTTAATCTTGAATGATGTTTTGATTGTAATACTTTCAAAATATAAAGCATTTGTTTAAATACATACGTTGTTCCACGTCCAACAGTATCTGATTGCTTAGTTGTATAAATTTGGAAAGTTGCTAATTGGTAAAATATTCCACATTTCGATATTATTTAGATTGTTTAGAACATATGAATGGGTTTTTTTTCCTTCAGTTTTTGACACAGTTCTTAAAGATTATTTTATTATACTGTAAATTCTTTTCTTTTATAATTTTTCAATAACACTTTGTCAGCTCTTACCAAAACTACACTGTGTCATGGTTAAACATTGAGAACCATACTTTGATTGGCATTATTATTCCCTATAGCAAATCAAAAATGTTTTTTTCTGATATTAAATATAAAAGCAATGTAAAGTAGAGCGGAACTAAAAATACTTTTTTCACTCATTTTTATTAGGAGAAAAAAGTTGCTGTTATTTTTCATAATTGTTAGTTAGGGTGTTAAATTATCCATTATTGTGCAAATATAAAATTAAACGTTGTATTGGGTAATATCTTGAGGGAATGTTACTTCACTAAGTTTCGTTTTTGCTTAAAATAAGGCTTTTAACTATATTTACAACCTGTTTTTTACTGATATGAAATGTTTATGTACTAAGAACATATTAAATATTTTCTCAAAAAAATTTGGGAAACGTACATTACCATTCTGTAATTACCATATATATATATATATATATATATATATAGCAAAACCTCCAGGGAAGACCACCTCTGTGTAGTGACCTCCTCTATTTACAACCACTTTAGAGAGGCACAGAATTTTTTCCAGAGACTTTTTGTGAAGAAAAATCTTAGGAGAGACCATTAAAACACTTCCTAGTGACTAGGCAAGTCTCCGCAAAAAAAAAAAAACTGAGCTCCGGAAAAAGTCAAATAAGGAAACACACACACAAAAAAAAACTTCAAGACAAAAAATATTAACAGATAAAATAAGTAGACTAAAAATATTTGTGTTTGGCTCTTTTTATCTATCTCTGAAAGAGATCCGCAACCTGATGTTGCAGTCAGACTGTACTAAAAACGATGTTATCAATGATTTATTTTTAGAGTTGAAAGTTAAATTAGAAAAAAAAAGTTATTAAAAAAAAAAAAAACTAAGGATCTCAAACAAACAGCTTTTTATAACATAAAATTAAATTCAAACCTTGACAAAAACATTATTGCTTATTTATTTAAATTAGTTCTATCATTCATAATTGGTAAATTTGTTTTTACGAATAATTATATCAGTAGGGGTAATTTTTATTGAAGCTAAATTTTGTTCATCAATCTGCTTTTCATGATGTCAACACAAGGGACGTTTTCACATCAAGAAAATGACACTTAGTAAAAATAAATCGCTGGTAAAAAATCATGCACATTTGATTACATTTTGAAGTCAATAAAGGTAACCCCTAAGAAAGACCAACCTCCATTATCGATCATCATACAGTGGAACAGAGATAGGTCTCTCCCAAGAGGTTTTACTGTATTATGTATGTATGAATACACATTAATATTATCAAGTTTTTACAACTTAAAACTATTAATGAAATTGCAAGAACCACTTAACTTTATTATTCAGAATATATATAATTTATTTATTTTACTGCATTAAAATGCATGGCAGTTAAATTTTTTCATCAACAGAAAAAAATGAAGAATTTCATTGCATTTAATTGAGATTTGAAAAATAAAATAAAAAACTTACAAAGAAACTTATTTATTAATGAAGTTTCTTTCTGCACAGCATTGTCCAAATTAATTTAATAAACGCAAAAATATTTAAAAGAAAAAAAAAAACTCTTAAAATTTAGGATGAAAAATAAAACCCATGGCAAATAAAAAATAATATACTTACATTGCACCCTAATAAGTTAATAACTTGAAGATCTGGACAAAATTTTGTTAACTCCTTAATAGCATCATCCCCAATCTAAAAATATACATTACAATTAGACAACTTCAGTTTCCACTTGCCATTCTCTTCATTTCAGGTAAATATTTATACTACTAACATTATAATACTTATATTACTACTGGGAAATAGCAATGAAACCCTGACTAACATTGCTATTAGAAAGGAAATACTAAGTAGCGGCAAAAGATACCTGGAGATATATTTCTGTCAATAATTTAACACAATTTATGTATATATATTTTTAAGTCATAGAACTATTTTGCTTTTCATAGTACTATTTTGTTTTTTTTGTAATCTGATTTTAAACACTTAAAATACAATTTTTTAATTATTTTGCTATTTCTATATTTAGGTACTGATTACAGGTAGGGTCGTTAAGACCCATATTTTGATGACAATTACATTTTTGGCCTCCTTTCCTCTTGAAAGGCATTTTTTTGTGGGTTAAAAGTATTTTTTTTTATTTGCATTGTAATAGAACAATAAAAAATATATAATAATAAAATGTCAATATATTATGATATAAATGTTAATATATGATAATAAAAAAATTAAGTCTATGTATCAATCCTTTTCCTCTGTTATTTTAACATCTAACATTTATTTTAAACTTAAATAAAAATTGTATCCTCATTTCTCAAAATCGACACATTTAAAAACAAATTTATGTTGAGCAAGAAATATTGTATTAGATTAATAATAGTGTTTGAGAAGAAAAAAAAGAGCTTTTTAATATTTTTTATTTTAAACATATATTTTAATGTTTTAAAGGTTCCCTCCCCCCAATTTTTAAGAGCATTTAAAAAGATTTTTCAAGCCATCATAATCTTTTGTGATCACAGTCTGGGAAAGACGAAATGCAATAAGCAATGAACAACAATCCCAGTTACTAGATAGACAAGGGTGAAATACTAGATATTGACTGTTACTATACATCTAATGAGAAGCTAAGTGAATTTTTTTATTTTCACTAAAGTAACAAACAAAATTATATGTAATTAATCCCTTTTATTTATTAAATTCACCCCTTCCACATCTATATTTTTTATAAATAATCAAATCAAGTTCAAATAAGTTACATTATGAGCTATCTACACAAAACTTGGGCAGAGGACAATTATTCTAAGACAGATGAAGTGGTACAATTTAATAGTTTAAAATTTAGTTAGAAAGCCAACCCCTTTTATTACTGAATGAATATTTAATTTTATCAGATACAAAATTAGAAATGTATATTCATTGATATATATACAAAAGTTTTACTTTTTTGCTATATTATATAATTTTATAGCATTTAAAACTTAATTTAAAATTACTAGCGACTATTCTTATTATTAACATATTATAGATGAAAAACCATTAAGATTAACTTCTATATTGTTTGATAAGCAGATAATGTATAGTCATATAGGTCACTTTTAATATCCTAGACCTGGATTAAACTGAATAAAGAATAAAATTGAAGAAATTAGGAATGCAAAATAAATAGAAAAAAAAAATAATTATATTGAAAGTGTCAAATAGTTCTAGAAACAGGTTTGTCAAAAAGGTAAAGGGAAAAAACACCTAACAAATTAGGATTGTGACAACTGTGCTTTCATGAATAACACAAACCCCTCATGGTGTTCAAAGTACCATGAAATGGTTCAAGGAAAATAAAAACTACAAACATTTTCAAACAAGTAAACATTAATAGAAATCTTACTTATTAAACTAATTTTTCTATTCAATATAATAAGATAGGTAAATTTGTGGTCAAAATAAATATTTTATGAAGTTTAAACTCACCAAGGAACAACCTTTACAAAGAAAAACTTTTAATTTTCGACATCCCTGAGCTAATGCTTCTACTCCAGCCATTGAGACTTGGTCGCACCATGAAAAATTGACATGCTCCATATTCGGACATCCTTCCCTAAAATAAAAATAATTAAAAAAAATTTATATAAATAAAATATTGGTTGCAAGTTTATACTATGTAAAACAAGTCACAAGTTTTTACTATGTTCAGGGTATCTGCTACATTTTAGATTTTCAAATTCATGACTTTTCATGACTAATTTCTAGAATTTTTTATGACTTAATGAAGTTACTATTTTTTCCGACAAAAACACATCAAGGAATTTAAAAAAACAAACACTATAATAACATAAATTGAAATGATAGGTATAACCAAAACTGTTATACTCTGCATCGTGATATTTAAAGATTTTAAATTTAAAAAAACAGAGTAAACAAAGAGTTGAAGCAATAAAATAGCTGAAAAAATACAAAAGCAAAATTTTTTTTTTTTGCAGAATTATATTCTAAAGATACTTTTTTTGTTCATCTGAAAGGCAAGAAATACTCCCGATTTTTCTGTCTCATTTCGGAATTAAACAAAAATTCGCCAACGACTGGCTTGCTTCAGCTAGAATTTTAAATTGATAAAATAAAAAATAAATAATAACAAAAGCTCTGAAATCACAGAAGTTTAATAGATAATTTGCTCTAGAAATGATGTTTTTTCTTTCATTTTTTGAAAGAACACCATAACTTTTAAAGAACATGATAAAAGCATTTTATATTTTAATAAAATATGACTGTGAGTGGGGATTTCATTAAAAATTCTGATATTCAGAACATCATGAAACGCACCAACATTTTAAAATTCCATTTTAAAATTAGATTTTTCAGCGACCTAAATCCATGACTTTCCATGATTTTCTTTAAAAAAACAGTTAAAATCATAACATTTCATGACAAATTTTGTTCAATACAGAAATTCATGATTTTCCAGGTGCGCAGATAGGAAAAGACATGTTTTTATTTTATTTTCACCCACACTGAAAAGCTGTAAAGCCAGTTTACAATTTAAATCTTAACTTATGATACTTATGCATTTCATTCACACTTTAAAAAAAGAAGAAAACCATAAAAAATAATTAAATTTAAGTACTTACATTGAATAAATGTAAATAAAACTTTGCTGACTTGCATGGATTTATTAATATTCACTAATGTTTACATGATTTTTAAGGTAAAACCTTAAAAAAAATCAGAGAAGTGTCAGGCATTACTTAATATGAGTTTTATTTTCAAGTTCAGTATAAACTCGAAAATCTGGAATTCTAAAATCCAGAAAGCTCTGAAATCCCTACTTTTTCAACATGTAATGGGGAAAAGTTAAATACCTGTTAGTTATTACAATTTTAAATTAGAGGTAAGATTCATAAATTCATGTACCTTAATTAGACTGCTTTTAAAAAAATAGACTGAAGATCTGGGAATCTGTAACAATAACTGTTAAAGAAAGATCAATAAAACAAAGTGAATTTATGATGAATTCATGGGGTGTCTATTCAATGCGATTGTCTTAATACTGCTGTTTCATTAAAAACAACAGGATTTCAAAAAGTCTATGATTCTCTCAGTAGTATTGTTGTATTAAAAATGTCCAGATTTTGAAAAAAAGTCAGTAGCTGAAAAAATGGTCAATCAGACAATGCAGTTGTGGTGAAATCATCTCAAATATAATATATTGTAAAAAATAGACTTATAATCGTGACTTGAATTTTATGTGCTGAAATTATGCATTAATATCAGGGTTTTAAAAACAAAATGGAAATCCGTAACAACAGTTGGATTAACAACTGAAAAACCGTGAATTCAAAATTCGTGTAATGTGATAGCATTCTATTGAATACATCAGCATTTTTAAAACTAAATTGAAACACGCTGGAATAGCTGTAAAAAAAAAAAAAAAACGCATAGCAAAACGCTGCAAATTTACAATTTTAATTTTTGAAAATTGAGAAAAAGATAACTCAATTGCATCTCCTGATATTTGATGGGTCATAATGATGTATTAAAATACTGGGATTTAAGAAAAACAATGCAGAGATTTAAAGAATAACTATAAAAAAAAGAGCAATAGATCATGTGGGTTTACAATGGAATCAAGCATTTGTTAATAATTTTGTGCCTGTAACTTAGGCTTCTCTATTAATTTACCAAAAATAAAATACCTAAAATCCGGAATTTCCCAAAATCCTGATTTTTCAAACCCCCAAGCATTAAGAATTTTGAAGTTATACTGAATTCAATTATATTTAAAGAATTGAAGGTGAAATTTTTCTATTTTTATGTATTTTCCAATATAACTTTGTAGAAAATAATAATGATTTAGTTTCTCGTTCCGACAAGAGAGAAATATTAGCTAACAGAAGGTGGTAGGAAAATTGCAAGAAAATTATATCGCTATGCTTTACTCTATAAATATAATAAAATAAAAAAAGTGAAGTAAAATTACAAATCTTTAATTAGAATACCAAAACAGACATTTCTATAAATGTTAAATAGAAATTTAGTTAAGTTGTATTTAAATAATTTTTTAATACAACATACAATAAAGCCATCAAATTCAGACATTGGGGATAGCAATGAGCTCCATCATTCTGGATAATCAGTTTTCTACTGTATATTCACAGTTGCTTATGAATTTTTTTTGTAAAGCCGGGTGTTCCGCAAAAAGAAGTTCGATCTTTTAGAGTTCCATACCCGAAAAAAAATTGGAAACCACTGGATGAAAAAATTTTCGAAAAGAGAAAAATTTAAAGGGAACTAGAAAAAAATTAATACAAACCCAATGGCTTTGAGGGATGCATCAGTCATCTGAGAACATGATCCTATATCTAGATGAAGCAGTTTTGGGCAAAACTTACTTAGATGCTGACAAGTACTGAAGAAAGAAATACGTTAGTAAACTATTTTGAAAAAGAAAGCAAAAAAAAGAAAAAAAGACTAAGTAAACATTGATTTTTAAACTGAATTTGGAAACATAAATAAATTTAGAAATTTTTTTTTGACAGTAGTAAATTCAAAGTTAATGAAAAATTAAGAAAAACTCAATTGCGTTTTTTCTAATATTAACTATTTATAAAAAGATCAAGTATTTTTAATATTTATTTTTAGCTGTAGTAGCTTTGATAAATCTTGGCAAAATTAAAAAAATCGCATTAAAGCAGAATAAGATAATATTTCATGAAACATGCCAAAATATTAATTAGATTTCATTTAATGATAAAATACTGTAATTATATAATTACTATATTATTATGTACACTATTATATAATATAAATATATTATATGTAATATTATGTGTATAATATTATACATATACATGTAATATTATTACTATCTTAATGATTATTATTAGTAGTATTTAATGAAACATTCCAAAATATTATTCAATTAATAAATCATATAATTCTCCAAAGATTAATATGGGAGATACGGAAAATAAAATCTTATTCCAAAGCACAATAATGTAATTATACATATATGGTTAGTTTTTATTCGATTANATTATATAATTACTATATTATTATGTACACTATTATATAATATAAATATATTATATGTAATATTATATGTATAATATTATACATATACATGTAATATTATTACTATCTTAACGATTATTATTAGTATTATTTAATGAAACATTCCAAAATATTATCCAATTAATAAATCATATGATTCTCCATAGATTAATATGGGAGATACGGAAAATAAAATCTTATTCCAAAGCACAATAATGTAATTATACATATATGGTTAGTTTTTATTCGATTACTTACTGATTAAATAGAAATCGGTAGCCTTGTAAATAATCTCATCACAAATTTCGTTTTCAGTTTCGAAATAAAAACTAGTATAATACATAAATTATAAAACAGTTGAAACCCCAGGCAAAGTAAATTGCTTAGTTAGTCTTTAAAGTGTAAGATAAAAAAGAATAATATTTTATTCAAATCCTTTATGAGGTTTTAAATGAAAAACTTTTTAAAAGTAATTCACATTTCAAAGAAAAGTTATTTTAAATAACATTAACCTTTTAAAATTACAAGTAAATAACAAAGCAAAATTGTTTACTTACTTACAGTATATTTTAATAATATAGTCCATTTAATAATTAAAATGAAAGGAAACTTCATTTATTGTAAAATTAATATATTATGCAAAATTAACATACCTGTCAGTTAACTTCTTGCAATCATTTAAGTTCAGTTCCTCAATGTGATTACAATTTTGTGCAAAAGTCCTACAAAAGTACCATTATTTAAAATATGATACAAGATTTAATTGCATAAAAGTTAATAAAATATAATCATTGAAAAGAATACTTCAAATATTATTATTAAAGAAGTAAATTGATCTGCACATAAAAAATGGGATTTATTGAAAAAATATTACTGAAAAGTAAAGGTTGTTCATGAAATAGAAAATTATGACTGTTCCATAGATCCAAAATATCTAGGAATATAGATCCAAAATCTGTATAGTATAGATATATATATGTGTGTAATATAGAAAGTATCATACAAGTCTATCTATATTAATTCATAAATAAAATTAGATCATCTCATTAATTTTAAAACAGAAATTGTTTTTCACAAAGAGCCATAAAAAGTCAAGATGCCAATTAAAGCCTATTTTCTGACATTGATGGGTAATAATTGTTATAAAAATACTCATTAAGAAGATCCCAAAAATTCCCTATAGAATGAATGATGCCATGTTTTTGATAAAATCAAGATCTATAAATTTTCACGATTGAATGACATTTGATTAAGTTAAGGACATTCTTGCAATCAATTCCCTTTCAGAATCCTTGGTTAAATAGCGGGATCCATCGAAAATGCATGGCTTTTTTCATGATGTAACTGCTAGCAAAGCTAAACCGAACTTTGGCCAAACCCCAAAACTCTAATTGGGGAAACCTTTTTCGTAAATAATTTGTCATAAGATACTAAATAAAACTTAAAAGAAACCTTGTGACTTGTTTATGAAAAGTACATGTTTTTTCTTCAAACAAGATTACAAGATCTTACACATATTAAAAAATAAAATAGTATGCTCTTTTTAATTATTGTCTATCAGTTTATAAATAATAGGCTGCTTTCAATTATCTTATATCAGGGGATCAGAAGCTTAGGCATTCACCTCCCAATGAGAGGCCCAGTTTCAAATCCCAAGGGTGCGTGATTGATATGAATACTGCATGGACCACAATGTTGACATTAAATATCTTCAGTGGTAGACGGATCATGAGTTAGAGTCCCCTTACCATCAGGCTAACTGTGGGAGGTTTTCATGGTTTTCCTCACCATGTTACACAAACGTGGGTTAGTTCCATCAAAAAGTCCTCCACGAAGGCAAATTTCTCCTAATACTTGATCCAAGAGTTCCTGTGTGTTCCAGATTGGGTTCAAAATTACAAAGCTACGGAGTTGAACACCAAATCAGAATTGAGTTGGTTGTTCAATGCTGGTTATAAAATATAAAAATAAAATTATCTTCTATCAGTTCAATAAATATATTTGCTGAATGCACACTTAGATGAGGAAAACAGTTTGAAGCAAAAATGCTTGCAAGTAGAGTCGATGATTAATTTTAAATTGAGTGAACATATAATAAATTTACTCACAGTGCATATTTTGAGTATTAATGTTCACTTGATAGAGAAATCTTTATCCTTCTCTAAAAGTATTTCAAATGAAACAAAATAACTGCAACAAATTCCAAATAAACCTGCCTGAATACTAAAAATAAATATTTTCCATTTTTTTTCCTTATAGAATGTTCCCAGGTTTTTGCATAAATAATCAATATTATAAGGCTTTTTCTGCAAGAAAATCCCTGTTCCTTTATTTGTAAGTTTCTTTAATCATAAAAAGAAAATAGAAGAAACTATTTTAGCAAGATTTTACCATTGGTATTAAAAGAACTTTAAAATAATTATACATCAATAACAAATATGACAAAATTCCAAAAAATTTCTAGAACTTCTACTAATTGGTTTTTATTTATTTTTTTCCACAAAAAAAAATAGTTATAGTTTCAACGAATTATTTTAGAAAAAAATTGTGATATGTCAATGATCTTACACATATGCTTACTGTGCTGATAAAATATTATTAAAAAAAATGTATTATGGCATAACATTTTTATGTTTTTTAAATATTATTATCAAAATATTACATCAAGAAATGTTTTTCTCTAAAATTTATTAGTAATACATAAGAGAAAGTCGATAGCCAGTAGCAGGACTTATATATTAACAAAAGATTTTTAAATTTAAATCATAATATTTATGACATAACACATTCCTTTCATTATATTCTCCCCAGAGGCATAAGCAAAATTAAGTAAAGATATGGAAATGTTTTTCATTTTATTTATTAATAAAAATTGTTAACAACCCACGTAATAAACAGTCATTATAAAATTATAGTAGTAAACGTATTGTATTGCTTTGGTTGGTTCAATGTTTTAAAAACTAAACTGAAATTTAAAAAAAAAATGAATGAAAAGGTGAAACAAATTAGATAAAAAACAGTTTGTAGTTAAAAAATAGTTTGTGAAATCAAAATCCAGCAAAAATTACAAAAGAATTTAGTTTCTATGATCAAATGAGTGCGGAATTCAGATGCTTTCATGATCACAAATAAGTGTGTTATCAAAGTTCATATCAGGGTTCAACTGTAGTTAGTGCATTTCTTTGAAATATACCTATGATCCCCTTTATGAAAATTCTAGCATAGTCCTAACATGCTTTTCTTATAATTAAATCTTTTACATTGAAAGGAAATTCTACATTATAGAGTTACATGTTCAATATAGATGGTATATCATTTTAAGAAATAATATAACAATTGAACCTTACAAATTCAAATGTTGAGCTAAAGTTGTTAATTTAAAGTTATAAAGCAAAAACAGATACAAATGTTTCTGAAACATACTTAAGAGCTGCATCTTCTACACTTTGACAACCTCTCAAGCTTAACTTCTTTAAGAAGCCTCCACATCGTTTTGAAATGTTTTCCACAACAATTCCCTAAAACCAAAATTGTCGTAGATTATGAATTGTCTTAATTAAACTTAAAAGAAATGCAATGGCAGAACAATTATTAGTAGCACATATCCTAAAAAATAATTATTACTCTTTAAAAAAAAAATTTAGACTTAGAACAATATTTTTCTTAAAAAAAAAAAACAAAGAAAAACATTGCACTAAAATCAAATTTTCAATAAAAATTTTAGTCACAAGTTGTTTTCTCAAACGCTAAAATTAACTTTTCATTAGCTTTAGATGAATCTTAACAAAAGCAGTACGATATTTTTCTTAAAAAAACAAAGAAAAATATTGTACGAAAATCAAATTTACAATAAAAACTTTAGTCACAAGTTGTTTTCTCAAACGCTAAAATTAATTTTTGATTAGCTTAGATACATTTTAACAAAAAAGTTATTAATCAAATGGTCATGTAAATTTAGAGTTATTGAAGAAATAGTCATTTAAAAGAAGCAGTGTTTATTGAAGAACACTGCTAAGCCAATACAAAGGATTCTTGAGATTAACAAAAAATTTTTTTACATGCCTAATACTTACAAGTAACTTTATTAAATTTAAAACTAATAAAAAAAATAGAAAAAATAACATTAGAGGTACATAGAAAAAAATGCATTCTGGGAAGCTTCTATAACTCCTATCTGATTTTTCTAAAATTTGGCAAGATTTAAAAGCACTACATAATATTGTAATATATGTTTATAAATAACATTGTATAACCTTGTTAATTTGAAATGATGTAGGAAGAATTCTCAAAACGGTGTTAAAGAAGTTTATTTAAATTCTGTTAATATGAATCCTGAGAGTGTTAAAATATAGCTACAATAGAGTCTCGATAATTCAAGGAGGAATTAAAATTCAATAAATATTTAAATAAATGGAAACAAAGCAATTTTTAAGTTTCAGTATTTAATTTAAAAATATATTTAAAGGAAGTTTACTTACATTAGATGATTAGGGTACATTTTCTGAATCACACCAAGTTACAATATTCATTATATTACTGCATCAGGTTAATTGTAATTTAAAATAATTGTCTACTATTTTTTTGTTTAAACAAACTATTTACATGTTTCAGTGTTTAACACACATTATCATTGTTTAATGTTTAGTCATAGTAAAACAAAACATAGTAATCCTTCCACTTGTTGTGCATGCGTTGGTCATTATTTGGGAACAAGACTGATCTTTATTTCACAAGTTTGATCTTATGGGAAACTTGAACAATTGAGAATTAAACTATCGATTCTTCAGTGTATATTAAAGATAAAGTAAAAAATAATTTTTTTACATACGCAATTTTAATTCTGATTAATATTTTGTACATCACTTGGGTAAAACTAGCAATATAATGGATGTTTCATTAAAAAGTAAATAATGATGTGTTAAAATAAAAAATAAGATCTTTGGCTGAAATATCTCACTAATATGTATCGTATTTTTCAAAACAAGAAGAAAAATATTTACCAACTTAAAGATTATGCAGCTCCCTATGTTAATCATGCAATAAATAGAAAAATAACAAGATTCATGGAAATTTTGAAACTGGATGTCAAATCACCAATCGCAACTTGTAAGAATTAAAAAGGAGAGCTTTACTTAAGCTAATGTGTAAACCATATAATGTGCTTATAATTTTCAATGTAGTTTTTTATAAATATATTGGATATAAAATTATCTTTTAAAAATATCAAAATTTTGGATAATGAGAAATTTTGTAAATTTAAATAATATGTGTCAAAAGAAGAAATGAAATAAATACCCAATTTCTAGACTATGAAGCTTTGCATGCTAATTATGCAATAGGATCCCAAAACCTCTAATGGGTGCTAGTCAGACTTAAAACGCAAGCATTACTTATACTTATGTGTAAGCAATACAATGCACTTATAATCAGCTTGAAGTAATTTTTATAAATATAATGGCTATAAAAACATCTTTTTAAAATTTTAAATCGTGGATTTTAGATAAGAAAATTTGTTAGCTGAAAGAGTTAAAGGACTACTTTGTTCATAGCAACATTGTTTTATTATTAATAAAAAAAGAAAATATACTTCAATATCAGTTTGAAAGTTAAACAGGTCGATTCTCTGCCAGTTGCTGCCATCTAGTGCAAGTATATTCCAAGCCTAGAAGTTGTAAATAAGGAGAATTACAAATTTAATGGACAAATTTTTGAAATGCATAAATGTAAAATTAAATTACAAGATGCAAAGTTAAAAAAATGTTGGAAAAAAATAATTCCTATTGGATTAGATAATTAATCGAAGAAATACATTATTTTAATATAGTGGAATATAGAGATGTGATATCCTTAATTCCAAACTCTTAGAAAACTCACACCACAAAATAGAAAATAAGCTTTAGTGGTTAATAAATAAATATGAATATGGCATCTTTTGAAAATAAATCTTCCTCACAAATCACACTTTTACAACATACCAAATAGAACAATTGTGGCTTTTGATGCATCGTATGTAATTTAAAATTATAAAAAAAAAATAATTAGAAAAAGGGTTTAAAAACATAATTTAAATTAAAAAGTAATTTTTAATTATTTGTTTTTTTTCGCTCTCTTAATTTCACAGTAATTATTAGAGCTAAATAAATAAGTTCATAAATATTTGTAAGCGTATAGAAGATAAAAGATACACTATGCTAATTTTTTAATGAAATTTAGGCAATAGAAAAAATATTCAATTGCTGAGAAAGCATGTCAACTTGCTCGCAAGAAAAATTTTAAAATTTGAAACATAATGCACTTACCACCGATACACAAATGTTATTTTGATTTATCAAGCTGAAGTAAAGAAATCACTGTAAAAAATTAAAATTCACCCTAGGATAAATCAAATTTTGTTTTCAATAATGAAGTCCTTCAAAAGAAATGAAATTATTGTACTGTAATTGGATAAATTAACATATTTCAGTTACACAACTCATTTGAAAAATAAAAAGGTGGGGAGATTCATAGAACATTCTGAGGTCATGGAACTTAAATGAATCTAAGCAAATAAGAAACAATTTATTAATTAGATCAATTTAAAAAATATCAATTTCAAATTAAATATTTTGTTAAAAAGCAGACTTTGAAAAAAAAAGAGGGCATAAAGACAGTATTATTTAAATAACAGAGGATCTAGTAAAAGCCACTTAAAAATCATAGCATGACTTTTCTTAAAATAACCTCACTAAAGTACATAAAAACATTTAATATTAAATATATATTGTTTTAATAAAATAACATAATGAAGTTAGAAAAAACAACAATTTGCTACAAAACTGTAGAAAAGTAAAGTTTAACACTAGAACACCATTAAAAAGACATTATGCAATATATGCGCCTCAGTATTCCCATATCAATATTTAAGATTCAGTGAGGAAATGTCACATGGATAGAAGAGTTCATTAATATATCATAATGCAAGCTATAAAATCAAAACAGAATACAGTCGTGTCACCACTTTTGAAAATTATGCATAAACTTTCTATACAAAAATAAAACTTCTAAACCTAATGATTAATTTATATTCATTGTTAATGTGGGAAGCTAATTATATAAATTTATCAAAGGAAATAATTTAAATAATTTTAATTTAATGCAATTTAACTAGACAGATTTTATTAAATATCATGTACCTTTGAAACTTGAGCACATCGACATAATGATACTACATCTAGATATGAAAATATCCTGCAAATGAAATAAAAATATAATACCGAAAAATATATACATAAGAAATTTTTAGTCTGAACTGTTTATACCATTAGTATTTTATTTATTTTGCATCAAGTCTGTCAAAAATTAATGTATATGGTATTGATGCTATTTAGAAGAAATTCTACACAAAATTTTACAAAATAGTTCACATCCGATATTGTACATCAGAAGCAATTAATTTTATCATTTGCGTTTACAAAACAGCTAGCTACTTTTCTCTTTTTCTGCGTCCCTTGAATTCCCCTTTGTCATATTTAATTTTTTCAATAATTTTTAAACTCTTTTGCATTTATGCGAACCATATATACCAAATACATAATTAGCTGACATTTGTGATGCTACTTATAAAGTTAAAATTGATTCTTCAGTAAGTACAACAAACATAAAACAAAAATAGTAAAAATTAGAGAAAAACAACAAAGAAATTTAAATAATTTTAATGGCCTTGCCTCAGCAAAAGTTCTTTGGGTAGTTTTCTATTAATGATGGCGTCTTCTTCAGACAGAACTTTGCAAATCTAAAGGCAATGTACAAATTTCAATTAACAATATTAAAAGCTATTAAAAAATCAATTATGAAAAATATATGATGAAAATTAAAGCATTAAAATGAAGTAAAAACAAATAGTAAAAGTAGCATTATTTAAAATAAAAAATATAATTTTAAGATAATATAAGAAGAAAATAATAAATAAAAAAATATAAGCCTGGTTGTATTTTTTAAAATGTAATAAAAATAAAACCAAGAAATTAAATAAGTAAAACGAATTTATTAGAGCAAAGATTTGAAAGATAATAAATTTAAAAACAAAAAATATTGCAATGTTAATATAAGGTGTAAGTAAAAATAATTTTTTTTTTCCTTTTGGCTCACAGAGGAATTTAGAGTTTAAATCAATAGATAATAATCATAACTATTATTTAGTATAAAAAAAGAGCAATTTCAATTTGTCTTAAAAATTAATAGACAAAGTATGTGAATAATATTTTTAAATCAAAAAAAATTTCAAAATAAAATTTAAAGTTTTGTATTTTAAAAACATTGTTTAGCTTAAGAAAAATTAAATTACAGCAGTGGTGTGATTTTCTACAAATTCTTTATATCTTTAAGTTTTAAATAAAAAGTTGAAATATTTTTGTTTTGAAGATGCTTTTATTAATGACTAGTTATTTAAAAAAATCAAAATACCTAAAGATTGATTCTTTTTCTTTTTTAAGATTAGTTTGAAAAAAAAAGTTTTATATTTTCTAATGCTAGTTGTGAAGTTTTTCTATTCAATTTTTGATTGCAAGGCAGTGGGCTGCCATTTGAGGGTGGAATCTGGCTTTCAAGCTGCAGGTTGTGCTCCCCAACTTTGTTACTAAAGTAAATTTATCAAAAAATTTTTTAAATAATAAAAATACAACTGTTAAACTTTTAAGCAGTTCTGATTTGATCTAGTTAAAGGGGATTCAGGACTATTACTAACTACATCTACTACATTAAAAAACAAAGTATTACAGAAATTAGTTTTAAATGAAGAAATAAAAATTAATATGGAAGAAAAAAGAAATCTCAAAAAACTTCTTTTAAGAGGTTAGGGAACAAATAAATCACTTAATGAATTAATTATTAGGGAAGACTCAGTATTAAAACCCCTTAACTCCTTATAAACTTATGAAAAAATACTATTTTTTTGTTACAGTAGTAAAGTATTGGTCAAAACAGATTTAGTAAATGAGAAATTAAGTGAAAACTAATGAAAAAAAAATTTATTAATTTTACATAAGTTTTAAGGAATTGTGAAGTTTCTTTAATGTTATTTCTTGCTCAATTATATTTAAAAAAAATGCATTATTTATGTTATGCATGCAAATATACTTAAACATTTAAATAAAACATATAATTAAATAATAGTTTTAACAAAATTAAAACCCTGATTACTTTAAAATTGATAATATAAAATTTAATATAAGGATTTCTGACCTCTAGTGACAAATATCTATAAATTCAGTTAAACTTTATAATTGGTTAATGGTGATGCAAAACTATTGTGCTTATTCACAAATTCTGTGAAGCATTCAGATGATAAAGCAAGCAGCAGTGAAAGGAATCTATGAGTGCAAATGTAAACACGAACATTCTAAGGAATACAGCAGTAGAAGTTTGATTTGATCAACCAGTTAAAAGAATTTAGTAATCTAATTTCAGTTGCAAGGCATGAACTTTATACACGATTTGTTAGGTTTTTAGAGGCTTTAAACAAAACATTATCTATAACTAACATTTTCAAAATTTATTGCTATGAAAATCAAACTGAAATTTTGAAAGACAAAGAAGCACAAATAACAATGACAAATGTAAATTATTATCAACTAAGTATTTTACACTAAAACACATAATTACAACCATAATTACGTTTTTATAAAATAAAGTTCTCAAATAAGAGTGAAATAATACAAATTACAAAACAATTTTAATGTTTAAAACTTTAAAATTCAATAAACTTGAATAAACTCATAGAATACAGATTTTCAGCAGGCCAAAATTTTAGCATGATTATTTAGAACCGGTGAAAAAAAAGCAAGTCATGGATTAATAGATATTCCTATTATTTTAGATAAATTCTTTTTTTGATATATAAAATAACATTAAACGTATTTTGAGTTAATTTTAAATAAAAATAAAATAAAATAAATACTAAATAAAAAATATTTACTTAGTGCACAGTTTTTAAATTATAATTATTTAGTGCATATAATACATAAATATCTTGCGTGACTGAATAATTAATTATTCAAAAGAGATACATGAGGTAGATTATGTTCCCAGCAGTTAAGGTTAGTTTTTAAATGAAAAAAGTTATTTAACTATATTAGAATCCATTTAAACTGTTATATGGGACAGCTATAACCTCTAAATTAAGTCTGTTATTAAGGTCACACTATATAAAATAAATTATTAATATCACATACATGCTACACACAGAAATATCAATCTATAGACTTTAAATTCCTAGTGTAGGTACCACTACAATTATTCAATTCCAATCCAATAGTATATAAGACATATTAACTCGATTCTATCTGGAGGTACATTTAGATAGATGACAGGTTGACATTGTTGGTAGTATATCCCAACATTGGTGATCTGGACAAACTTATCTCAACAGAAACGCCCACTTCGATATGAGTTTGATGGATGGAACACCGTAAACAGTTGACTTGCTATTTGTGACTGCGACATCATACGCCTTGTGCTGTTTCTATTCCGTCCCAATCATACACAACAGGGTCTGTACACATTTGACTGCTAATTGCAACATAAAAGAGACCACACACAACTGTGATCAAGACTAGTGTTCTAAGTCCAATGATTTTAATACAGTTCTCACCACTAGCACTCAAAGCCTGGTAATCTTAATACAGCTCTCCCATTGTCTCACAAAATAGCAATGAATCTCAACTAGTGATATCCATTCATCAAATTCTAGCCCACATAAAATTCTGGTGGGGGAGTATTGTAGCATAGCTACAACTGTTATTCGATTCCAATCCACTAGTATATAAGCCATGTTAACTCGATTCTATCTGAAGGTAGGTACCTTTAGATAGATGATGGTTGACACTGTCAATAGCCTAACCCCACAAGTTAATGAAAGAAAAAAAAAATAGAACTAAGATCACAGTTTTGGTACCTGAAATAAATTATTTAAGAAATTACTTTTTTAAGTTTAAAAAACTTTGTTATGTTTGCAGATTCTATTACTATTAATTCCAAAGACATGTATGCTATTGCTATTCTAGTCTAACGACTTTTTCAATTAAAATTTCAAAAATTGCAAATATTTGTCGTTTATAAAAAAACAAAACAAATTATAGCTAGAGGTGAGTAATTTTTATATCACTGATCTTGATAAACAACCAATTCACATGAAATAGTTTATATAAATCTCCATATTGTAAGAATTTTAATCTAGTAGAAAACAAACTTGCAAGAATCTGAACAATTTGTCTTCTCTGAAGGAATTTTATGTGAAATCAGCTCATATTTTCATCACATGAACTATTTCCAATGTTCAGCGATAAAAAAATATTTCAAACGTAATGGACAAATAATTATCTGCTTTCACTTGGATATATTTTATGCCAACAATAAGAAAAGGAAGTAATAGCCATTTCTTGAATGGGGATGCCCAACTAATGACACAGTGTTAATTGCTATTATCTTTAAACCAACTTGCTATGTTTGCGCTTAATTAGAAACTTTATAGATAATTAATTGGTATTAGACAAATACACAGAAGAAGTAGTGTTACTTCTTTTTCTATAACTGCTCAGTCAATTAGCCAATTATTCAAGTTGAATAAAACATAATAGGAAAATCATCTGATAGATATGTTATTGGTCTTGGAGAATTGATATAGTTATTAGCTTAGCAGCTAAACCATTTTTATGACTAACTAGTTTTCTTCCATTTTTGGAATTTATATAGAAGAAATGAAAAATCAAGATCATATTTCCTTTCAAAGAGAGTAAGAAACAAAATGCATGTTTGCAACTGTTTAAATTATTAATTGTTTAGAGGCTCAATAATAAAGAATAGTGCATTAAAGTTTTATCAAAAAATTTAGAGGAAATAACAGAGATGAATATTAAAACTAGAATCACCAAGACAAGAACATCATTCAAAAAATTTTGGAGGTGCTTTAAACTTAACTAAAAACAGTGTATTGAAAATCAGAACAGTGTTGTTGTATGGTGCAGAAGTATGATGTTTAAAAAGATTAGACACAGCTGAACTAGAGGTGTTTCATAATAGATATTTGAAGTTCCACCGAAAAATAAATAAAAGCAAACTAGTGAAGAGGAAGTAAATAGATAGAGTGGCCATGTCTGAAGAAAATCTTGATATAACATGTTTCTGCTCCTGACTGCAGAAAAAACTGAATAGACAAAAGAATACATATGGCAAAACCAGGGTGGGTTAGGGGACAGAGCATTCTTCTTCCAATGAGGTGAACCACATTCAAATCCCAGCGATTGCTGGTCAATGCAATTCTGCACTCGTCTCACAGTGCTGGCGTAAAATATTTGCAGTGGTAGACGGATCTTGCATTAGAGTCCCCTTGAGGCCAAGCAAACCATGGAAGGTTTTTATGGCTTTCCACTCCATGTAACTCAAATGCAGGTTAGTTCCATCAAAAAGTTCTCCACATAGGCAAGTTTCACCCAATGCTTGATCCAGGAGTTCCCTTGTCTTCTGGATTGGATTAAAAATTACAAGGCTACGGACCTGAACATTAGTCGTAAACCCAAAATTAGGTCTGCTGTTTAACGAAGGTTATAAAAATAATATATATGGCAGAGACCTTAAGGACACTGAGCCGACAAGATTAAAAGTTACAAGATACCGAGCCAGAGACAAGCAGAGTAGGCTGAATGCCATATGTGCTAGACATCTTGTAGAATTTAAGGAAGAACACAAAAAGTATTTATCGAAGGGAGGAGGCATTTAGGTTTAAAATGCCAACCTAATAAAATTAATGTATACACTTGAATCTGCTATCAAGATATCTGATCTTTACCCTTTACTTGCACCTTTTATAAATAAATAAATTCAAATACTTAGAATTTACACAAAAAAAAAATCAAATACTATATACATATTATAAAAGAAAAAATTCTTAGATCTTATAAACAATTTGAATTAATAACATTAACATTCAAATCAAAAATGCTATAAAAACACAGACAGGATTTATAAGAGCAACAACAGGATGAGAGAGAGAGTTAACACAATTTGAAAAGATTTCTGACAAAGCCACAGGTGTTTACATTAAACAAAATTAGAAAAATACCACAGAAGAAAAATGAAAGCATAGAAGCATAAAAATCAAAACAATAAAATAAATATAACAAACGCAAATCACAATCTTCCAATCAAGCCAATATCAAACAAACATATTCATAACAACCAACATTTAACCTGTCAAATACTATACCTTTGCCATTTTTCTAATTTTTTTTAACATGATTTATCTTCCAGAAGTAGTATTCTCATCCATATCATTGAACCCGTCCAAGATTTCAAAAACAATCCAGTTTTCTAAGGAACAATTTATATAAGAAATAAGGGCTAGGCAAAAATATATCAAACTTAACAAATTAAAATTAAAATAAATAATAATAATAAAGAATAAAATTGAAAATAAATGAGATGTACTACAAGGATGTCTTTTCATCAATGTTAACAGAGACTTTTACTACTCGAATTATTTTAAGATAATATATAAAAACATAAATTAATTGATGGCTAGTCTTTCTTTAATTTCAGTATATGCAGCAAATTTTTCAAATAACAATTCCATTTATTTTCTTTTAACTGCAATAGAAAAAAAAATTCTTTATAAACTTATTATCTTTTTAATCAAGCAGCCAGTTTAACATTTTAGAAAACACCAAGTCCCACTTCCTTTTTTCCTCGTTGCGCTGCATTTCTTAAACTTATTGGAAAAACAAATTGAACTGTTCCTCTCTCTATAGTATTTATATTCAAGTGAGAGCAAAAAAAAAAAAAAAAAAAAAAAAAAAAAAAAAAAAAAAAAAAAATCACTGGTCTGTGGACCAGTAACTAAAAGATATTGCTATTCAGAACTCATTTTCAATGGTTTATTTCTGGTGGCAATATTTCTGCTAAAAAAAATTACTAAAATGAATTTAAATGAATAATTACAATACATAAAACGAGTAAAATTCACAATTCCGAAGAAATATACAATATGAAAAAATATACAATTTGTGAAAATAAAACAGGCAAAAACATGAAACAAAGTCACAATACCAAAACAGCTTCACATTGATTGCTTTGAACCACTGTTAATTAGTTTTTGGTGGTCCAAGTAACTTTTAGTGGTCTCACATCAATAGACTACTGTTAATTTCAAGCCCTTCAGGCTATTCTTTTTTGAAAGGATACCTTTCTTAAAATTAAGTGTTATAAATCTTTTTTTAATTATATTTCCAATTGAATGGGAAATCACTACACTCATGTTCAAAACTAAGAGAACTTTTCAATGCCTTTGATTTCTTAGAGCTATCAGGAGTCTGTCTAGGTTTTTCTGAAAGGTACCTATTTTGCAAAAATTTAGACAAAATTTGGGAAAATTAAATTAAAAAATAGACACAAAAATATAATGAAAATATGGGTTTATCGTTTCTTACTGGATACAAAAATAAAATTTTTAAGAAAAAGAATTTTCTGAAACTACTGTTTTTACTGAAGTTAAATTTGTGAAGGTAATGTTAAAAGGTAGTAAATTTGGCCTGGGCAGACCCCTGGCTAGAGAGATTTAAATAATGCTTAACAAGTAAATATGCTGATATATTGCTAAAAAAAAATCATTTAACAGAATAATAAAAATGTCTGAGTCATGATTCCCAATGGAATATATTTAGATACCAATATCCTTGGAAGGAAATTTTAAATTAATTACAAAAAGGCAGAAATGCTGAAAGTCCTTTTGTTTTAAAACAAAAACTTTTCAGATAAAATCTGTATCTCACTAAACACCATTGTAGGCACCCTTGAGATATCACATTAAAAAGTTAAAAATTAATAAGTATAAAAGAAAATATTTAAAACTTGAAATAAAATAAATATTCTATAAGGGAAATAAATATTCTACAGCAAAATAACATCAGTGAAATTTTTTTGTCAAATTAAAATACTGCAAAATCATACAAACTAAAAATTAAGAAACATTAATTTTACTATTGGCTATTACAAACAAAATTTTATCAATTAACTCATTTTATTCATTCATAATACATATTTTAAATTAAAATAAATCAAACAAGTATCTAAGATGCACATTCTCATTGTATATCATCTCCTCATATTCATAATTTAATTTATCTCATATTCATAAATAGAAGCCCACTATAAAAATTGAAACAAACTAATCTTTGGAATAACAATATTATGAAAAGCAATGTTTACATAACTTTAAAATATTTTATTAATAAAAGAATTATAAATGAGATGAAGTTTTCCTTTTAGTACAACTGTTCAAAACAAGATAACATAAACCGAGAAACATTCCAGTCACTACTGCTTACTTATAAGAGCAATGAATCGATGATTTGAGTTATAAAATAAAATTTTTACATCAAATAGGCGAATGCATATTTAAATGCTGCTATTGTTTTTCTGTTCTAGATATTTATTAAAAAATTGAATAAAATTAAAACAAACATAACTTATTTAATAAATTTAGCAATATTAGCAATTGGTTAAAAAGAATTTAATTTTAATTAGTGTTTTGCTGCAAAATCAGTGTAAGAGAAAATGTTATAAAACATAAGATATGTGTAATGCTTTGAGATTCAGGTACTAATATGTATGAACAATAGATAGAAGGATAATGAAAGGCTATTACACCGAACAATAAACAAATGCGCAGTTGTTTAAAAGCAAAACAAAGACTTATGTTTTGAGTTAATGGCTCAATTGCTTTTAAGTTACATTAGAGATAAACCTTAAAATAAAAACACCTCATGCTTGGATCGATTAGACAGATTCATACTGTCATTTTGAAGATTTCCCACATTTTCGCCCGTCCTTTGAAATAGCATCTATTTTGAGACTGAACCATAACAATAACAGCAAACAAAACAGCTGTTCCATAGGTTTGAATCAGCTGACTTTAAAAATTACTTCGACGTTAATCAACAAACTAATTTAGTATATAATATTTCTAGCAGATGTCAGGATAATCTGAAAGTTTTTTCAACTTGTTTGTTTCTAGAGGGCGCATTGAAATCAAAATAGACTTATTCACCTTATCTGTAGGCGGAGCTTATTTTCTCTAGCAGACGTTGTGGCCATTGTGGCCCGAATGAAATTTTGGAGCAACCGGAACTTATTTCTTTTCTAATGTTCTTACATAGACAGATAAAAACTATAAAATTCATTTATAAGAAAAAACAAAACATTTGTAAACATGATGTTGTCAATTCTAGGTGGTTGTTCAGCTATAATTTGTAGTATGAGAAGAAATACAAATCTTCTATCTGAAGTTAAATGTTTTGCTTCCCAAATGATTCTGTTCATCGAGCTGCCTGCGCAATTTCATGAAAACTGAAAATTGGACTATTAAAAAAAAATAGTTTAATATGCAATACTCAATTTGTCACAAGGGAGAGAACATTTTATCTTTTACTACTATACTCGTATAATAATAACATATATGAAATAACATATATGAAATAACATTATATAATAATAACATATATATTGCTCTATGTTTTAGGAAAATAGACCAGTATATATCGATCATAACAGAGCTGTTAAGTAATACTTGTGACTAAAAATATATCAACAATGATATGTTCGTAAAAAAAAAAGAGCAATAACCTTTTTTTAGTTTATGACTTTTATTGCGTATTTTATGTTTAGATATATCTGCTGCAGTCATTTTTTTATGTTCTGATTATGAATGCTACATTGCTTAAATATTTTTAGACATTGCAGTTCTTCGGTTTTATATATTAGTTTAATAGAATTTCAGTGTAATTATTGAATTTTCGGAAACCAGAAACCACTCAAAAATCAATTTATTCTACTTAATTTGAAAGTTGCCAAGAAATAAATAGGTTTCTTGACTTTTTGATCAGTTAATAATTATCTAAACAACTTTAATTGCTTTAAAATGAAGTTCTTAAAATATTGAAATTGAAACATTCTCAGATTTGAAACTTATGAAAACAATAGCATTTTTATTATCCACTAGGGTAGGGGCGCACCCTTAAGTAATTTCTTTTAAAATGATATTTTATATACAGGGTGATTCTAAAAAGATGGGAAAAATTTTAGGAAGTGATCGTACACACCCAAGCAAACAATTTTTATCAAAGAATGCATGGTCGAAAACGAAACGCAAAAATGCTGGCGCATTTGGCAAATTGTTTGATGCTAACGTGAAAGCTCCATTCCTGTTGCGAGCTACTGCTCTGCGTTACTTGTCGCCAAGCTTTCGCCGCTGCAGGAAAAGTTCCTGATATGCTTGGTGTGTTTCAGAATGTTCACCTATTTTTTCTTCGCTGTTGTACTGCGTGCATAGCCGCTGCCGGCCACTGTTTTGAACACTTATTGTAACCACATGCCATTAAATTTGCTTTTATAACTTAACTTCATCGTTCTTTGTATGCTTTTGCTTCATATAAGAACATAAACTTTGACGCCCTCTAGCGGTTTTGCGTTTTGTTTTCGACCATGCATTCTTTGATAAAAATTGTTTGCTTGGGTGTGTACTATCACTTCCTAAAATTTTGCCCATCTTTTTAGAATATATAATATAATTATATAATAGATATATAATAGAAATTATATAATAGAAATTATATAATAGAAAATTATATAATAAAATATATAATATAATAGAAAATATAATTTATTTGTTGTTGTTATTAATTTACGTCGCACTAGAGCTGCACAATGGGCTATTGGCGACGGTCTGGGAAACATCAAGGAGGATGATCCGAAGACATGCCATCACAATTTTGATCCTCTGCGGAGGTGATGGCACCCTCGCTTCGGTAGCCCGACGACCTTCGCGCGAAGTCGAGCACTTTACGGTAGCACAGTTTAACGAGGACCAATACCGCCCACCCTCGGTCCCTACGCAAACTGATCCAAGTGGTCACCCACCCGCACACTGACCGCAGCCAGTGATGCTTGACTTCGGTGATCTGCTGGGAATTGCGTCTTAACGATCAGTTCACTGCGGGAGTATAATTTAGTATATATAAAAAAAATTCACCTGATTATTCAAAAAAATAAAAATAAAATTTTAAAAAATAAAAATTCAGATTAAAAAGAATGTCACGAGAGACGCAGAGAAAAATTTTAAAAGAACTAAAAAAATAATGCATGTCAGAGAAAGATAAGACTAGCAAACGAAACCGCCGTATGACAATGATCCTAGTGCTTGCAACAGTATTGTTTTGAGTAAATGATTTTCCTTGGGAGTTTACCGCATCGTTGTTGTTGTCATTAGGGTGGAGGTGGTGCGATTGTTCTTGTTTTCCACTGGTGCCATCTATGGTCGAGAATTCGACTTCTGCCACACCCATACGTCACACCCGTTTATAGGGTGGACTCCTTCATACATCCATTCATTCGTCCACAGATCGTAATTTTGACCCGAATCGGAGAACGATCAATTTTCAAATCCAGAGACCTCAGAGGTATTAATTTATTATGGAAACATGGTGAACTTTGTGACTCGACAGATTACTAGAAGGGGAGTCTTCAGCCTGCTGGATTCGAACTCCCATTTTCACAAACATGAGTTCAGCACCTTGCAAACCAGGCTATTCCGACCTAACCACATCGTGATTTCCTACTACTCCAATAATTAGAAAAATAAAAAAATAAACAAAAAATGATGAAGAATGTCACCGACTACGTTTTGGTACTTCAATTAGAAGCTTAACCCCCGGAACTCCCCTCCTTTCGAGGAGCTCCTGATTAGCCTCTCATGCACTCAGAGACAAAGCTCCTGAGTATTCGATTACCTCTAACGACTCAATTCTTTGCATCTCCTTGTTGATCAATCAGCAACGCTGAGGAACAATTTTTCTTTTCTATTGCATGAGCTTTTTAACACATCTTGGATACTTTCGTATCACTGATTTCAAAACTGCCACCAGTTTCTATCTACAAGCGAAATTTTTTTTTTCAAATGACATTTTTAGTCTATTTTTTGTCGAAATGCACAAGTTTTAAAACGTTATCTATAACAGGGGTTGAGTAAATCTTGCGACAAACTTCCTGCGGAGTTAAGGCATATTATCAGATTTAAAATTGCATAGGAACCTATGCCCGGAAATATCGTCATACACCACTAGGAACGTTTCCCCTATTATAAACTAAACAGTTCCTTCATGTGCTTCTGAGCAGGTCATAATATGGAAGTGCATCTATCCATGTATAACATTTCCGGACATGGGTTCTAATACAATTTTAATCCTGATGATATGTCTTATCTCCGCTAAAAGTTTGTCGCCACATTTATGCGACTCCTATTATATATAATGTTTTTAAACTTGTACATTTCGATTAAAAATAAACTAAAAATTTTATCTAAAAAATGCGTAGCTTTAGGAGCAAAACTTATTTCAGATTTTAAATCCCAACACTAGAATTAAGGCAAGATCAAGTACAGTAGCGATTCCCTTCTGGAAGATCTATTTTTAGATCAAGCCCCCAAATTGTGCCTCTTCAGCCTACCCTGAGAGGCCGGGATTAAGGTTTTTACTTCATTCCAGTGAGTATCCCCTCAGCGAGCAGTCGCACGAACTTGTTACTTGTTACGTTTTAATAAATTTATATTAAGTTTTAAATCGTCATCCTTGTTCTCACCACACATTGGAGTCCTCATTAATTAGTGATTAGAGGAAATAAAATTACACCTTGAAACCTCTAAAAGGGTATAGAGGGAGTAGATTCGTGCTCGAAGTCGCCACTGAAAATTTCCTTTCAAATATATTTACTAGATGTCTTTTAAATATATACCTTGACGTTATCTATCGAGTCGCCAATTCTTTGAATTACTTCACACTCATTTCCAGAATTGGCGATCAAAATGGGCTACTGATGGTGCTGCGCAGAACTCTCTACCTATGGCAAAACTTCATATGGTTTCGTCATTAGCTCGTGCATAGTCATAGGCGATCGTAACCCTCAAGTACGCCATCTGGGAGAGACGACCGGTTCCATGCCTTTGACCCTTCCCCCTTTTCAGTTGTATAGGAATGTACTACGATATTTCTCCTTTTCACAATATTTTTCGTATTTATTTGTTAAAAATATTTTTTTAAATTATCATGACCCTTTCTTTCAGAAATTTTAGTTAAGCATCACCGGCTGCGGTCAGTGAGTGGTGGGTGATCACTTGGATCAGTCTGCGTAAGGACGGAGGGTGTGCGGTATTGGTCCTTGTTAAACTGATCTACCGTAAAGTGCTCGACTTCGAGTGCATGTAGTCGGGCTACTGAAGCGGGGGTGCCATCCCCTCTGCAGAGGATTAAAATTGTGATGGCATGTCTTCGGATCATCCTCAGGGATGATTCTCAAACCGTCGTCTCAATGTAGAAGACTACGCAGGCTTGCTATGTTACAACTCAAAAAACATCAAACGGTGCTATTTGACACAAATACAGCCAAATAAGGGGTAACATTCAAATCATGCTTAACCTTAATTTGTTCTGTGATGTTAATTTTGGTAAATTTGTTTTAGGCTCGCGACTTGTTAGAGTTGAAAAATAACAGAAAATTCTTATGAATAGTAAAATTACGCGTAAATTTAAACGCAAATCACAATTCGCGATAGCAACACTCGAATACGCCATCTGGGGAGAGACCGGTTTCATGCCTTTAGCCCTTCTCCCTTCCCTCTCCTCCTCTTTTCAGTTGTATAGGAATGTTCTACGATATTTTCCCCTCTCTTAACATTTTTCCTTTTTATTTAATAAGAATATTTTTTAAAATTTCCATGATACTTTTCTTTAGAACTATGTTTAATGTAGTTTTCAGTTCCATATAGTTTTTCAAGTCAAAAGATTTTAATCTATTTGAAAATCAAGAGAGAAACTAACGTACTTCCTTCCTCTACGACTTTCCACACGCTAATGGGGGAAAGCATGTGAAGTGTTGCCATAGGAAAAGAGTTCTGCTCTA